CCTGAGCTCCCCCTCCCCCTCCTCACCCCCACATTCCCACCACCCCTGTCTGTGGAAAAACTGTCTTCCATGAAACTGGTCCCTGCTGCCAAAAAGGTTGGGGACTGCTGCTATAAGGAACCTATACCTAAGCAGGGGTGGGGAACCTGCAGCATTCTGATTTCAAGATTGTTCTTTTTTAAGTACCAAAGGAGGTGAGAAAAGCTTCCTCTTTCTCTGCTGCACTCCTTTTAATAAAAGAATTTGTTCTGTAAAATTTCAATTCGGTCAAAAGGACCTAGGGCCTGCACTTAAGGACCTAGAAAGCCACATGTGGCCTTAAGGCTGCAGGTTCCCCTCCACTGACAGGTGGCCTGTTCTTTGACCTGGGTCACTGGAAGGCAACATCTCAGCTCTGGGAATTTCCCAAATGATAGGTGTGTCTTTGATATTCAAGGCAGGGCTCTAGATAGCTTATGCTAATGAATGATTCAGGATGGGGGGAGGGGCAGACCATGCCGGAAAGACCAACCATGTGTTTAGGAGGTGGAGCTTTGAGCTTCAGGATATCAGCCTGACCTCCCAATCTCCAGGTAGGACGGTGGGGCTGGAGATTGGTTTCAATGACACGGCAGATGATTCGATCAATTGAGCCTGCATAAACCATGCACACCAAAAGTCAGTGGAACTTCCCAGTTGGTGAGCCGTGCATGTGCCGGGTGGGGGATGCATCCTGACTCCACAGGGAAAGGGAGCTCTGCATTCTGGACCCCCCAGACCTCACCTTATGTGTCTCCTCCTTTGGCTGATCCTGATTTGTATTCTTATGATAAAACTATAATTGTAAGTACAGCACTTTCCTGAGTTCTATGAGTTATTATAGCAAATTATCAAATGTGAGGGGGTGTGGGAAACCCCAAATCTGTAACCAGTTGGTCAGAAGTGTCAGTGGCCTGGGGACCCCCAAACTTGCAGCTGGTATCTGACGTAAGGGCAGTAGTTTTATCAGACCGAGCCCTTAAACCTGTGGAGTCTGCACTAACTACGGGGGTGAGCGTGAGAACTGAATTGCAGTACATAGCCACCCCTGCGGCCCTTGGCCTGGGCCCAGCAAAACCATCATATTTGTCTGAGCATCTGCATTTAGTACAGCATTTACATAATATACACAGTAATAGTATCGGTATGACTATGCCTAATATTTGGAGGAATTGATGAAGGCTAGGGAAAGATTTAAAGAAACTAATCTGGCCTATAAAGCCATTACATACATACTCATATTTCTGTACTAATTTGATTATTCATTTCCCTCCTTGATCTGCCGCTATTTGTACCTTATGATAAACTTGTACAGAACTACTTAGCATAGAAATTAGCTAAAGTTCTTCCTCAGGCCAGTCATTTGTTATTGGTATTACATCCTGAGATCTCTCAATCTATTTAATCATCATTATCATATGACTTATTTATATAAGGTAGTTGAATCTTATCAACAATGCTAGGTTACACCATTTCATACTGTAGTCCTAGCACTATTCATTACAGAGCAATCTCTAAGAATTACAGAGGCATTTCCTATGCCTTCCACATGGAAATGGAACCTGCCCATACACCAACTATTATTATGAACAGGCATCATTGCAAGTGGCCATGATTTGGTTATTTCTGGGTTCCAAGTGGGTTGGGGACAAAGCTAGTCACCCTGTCTCCTTTCTGTTGTGTGCCATTCTACGGCAGGGCCCATCTCCCTCTTATGGGGAGGACACGGGTGGTATTCAGAATAGTTTCTATCCTTGCTAAGTGTACTACAGGGTGTGTGTGTTCTTCTGACATTCTCGGGCAAGGGCGGCCATAGTGTGTCAGTGTATATTGCAAGTGCTCCATAAGTTTAGGGGCTATAAGATTCCTACAGGAATGCCACTTGAGCCTCAGCAGCTAGGACGAAGGCCATTGCCCCATGCCTACCTTGGCCTCGATCTGTATTAAAATAGTCAAGAGGCCCTTTCCCAGTGCTGGGTCCTGGCATTATTCCAGCATCAGTTGTTGACTCAGCCTAACCCACGTCACCAAAGCTCGTCATCTTTCCAGGCTGACTCCCATGCCTTGCTCTCCTCCTGGAAGAGAAGTCCGGGTAACCTGCTTATTCTAGTTAATTCACTTTTGTCCTCTGAATGCTTCTCCTCATTAGAAGTACAGCTTGTTTAAGCATGGGGGAACTTTTCTCCCCTAAGGCCCCCTTTCTATCTCACGGGCCAGTGTTGTTTAACCCACCGTGTGTGTTGTTGCCATTGTGTATTAAAGGCCCAAGTGCAGTTAAGGTACCTGTTTTGACCCAAAATTGCTGGGTCCCCACAATTGGGCTAGGTGAGTGATCATCACACCTACCTGTAATTTATTTTAAGAATGTCATGAGCCTCCCACAGCCTGTCTTGTCTCAGGAGGGGGCTATTCCCCAGGAGAATTTGGACCTACCCTGTGATGACGACTGCTTTTATCCCATAAGAAACCCATTCTTGGCCGAGCGCGGTGGCTCATGCTTGTAATCCTGGCACTCTGGGAGGCTGAGGTGGGCAGATTGCTCAAGGTCAGGAATTCAAGACCAGCCTGAGCAAGAGCATGACACCGTCTCTACTATAAATAGAAAGAAATTAATTGGCCAACTAATATATAGAGAAAAATTTAGCCAGGCATGGTGGCGCATGCCTGTAGTCCCAGCTACTCGGGAGACTGAGGCAGAAGAATTGCTTGAGCCCAGGAGTTTGAGGTCACTGTGAGCTAGGCTGACGCCATGGCACTCACTCTAGCCTGAGCAACAAAGCGAGACTCTGTCTCAAAAAAAAAAAAAGAAAAAAGAAACCCATTCTTTTCTATTCTGTTTAGTAGCTTTCCATCCACAAAAGCAAGGGTGGCCTGCACGTAGCACACTGTGACATGTTGGCCATGCTGCTGCTATATTTTATCTATTATAACCAGGGGCCTTTCTAAGCATTTGATTATCAAGGTTTACATTTCCTTGGTGATTAGTCTGCCAGGAGATGTAAACCACACACTCCAAAGACCCAGTAGGGAGTAGTTCCTGGAAATTCCTTCCCAAATGATACACTTTGTAGTGGATAGAACCTGAAAACTCAGGGTCAAAACACTGGCACTTGGCTAGAGTTCCATTCAGTGGTCAACAGTTGGTCCGCCTCATCGTCCCACCATGTGACCGAATCCCAGAGCAGTGCCACTCAGGTCTGCAGGGTGCCATGCGACCTTGTCAGGTCCCAAAAGCAGGAGTGGTCTTGGCAAATGTGTGGCTTCCCCCTTTCAGGCATCCGGTATAATCGTGCTAAGAGACAATGTTTTCTTATTCTCTCTCCAGGCACGTATGTGATGTCGGATTTCCCTAATTGCATAACCCTTTTATTCATTCCTTTACCTTCAGCTACTATTTCTCCTCTCCATTTGTCTTTGATTTTTTTTTTTTTTTTTTTTTTTTTGAGGCAGAGTCTTGCTCTCTCACCCAGGGCTAGAGTTTGGTGGCACCAGCCTAGCTCACAGCAACCTCAAGGGATCAAACAATCCTCCTGCCTCGGCCTCCTGAGTAGTTGGGACTACAGGCAAATCCCACGATGCCCAGCTAATTTTTCTATATTTAGTAGAGACAGGATCTTGTTCTTTTTTTTTTTTTGAGACAGAGTCTCACTTTGTTGCCCAGGCTAGAGTGAGTGCCATGGCGTCAGCCTAGCTCACAGCAACCTCAATCTCTGGGGCTCAGCGATCCTCCTGCCTCAGCCTCCCGAGTAGCTGGGACTACAGGCATGCGCCACCATGCCCGGCTATAGGATCTTGTTCTTGATCAGGCTGGTCTTGAACTCCTGAGCTCAAGGGATCCTCCCGCCTTGGCCTCCCATAGTTTTAGAATTACAGGCGTGAGCCACTGAGCCCAGCCCAGAGTAGTGGTTTGATAGAGAATTGTAACAGGCAATTTTTCACTGCCTGTCTACTAGGCCATTGGCCACTGCCCATGAGTCAGTAAAAACCCAAACATAGGGGCTTTTATCATTCAGTTCTTCCATCACTGCAAAAAAAAACACATGCAATTTAGTTCACCAAGCTGATTTGTTCTTACCTTCTTCAGAGATTTTCCATCAGTCAGTCAGTCAGAGTGCCACGGCCTTCCTAAGAAGAGTCTGTCTGTCTACCCATAAACCATGTAACTTTTTTCCGCCAGTCGAGAGCTCTTCTAGGGCCTCTCCTGAGTGGCATCAGCTCCTTGGGTGCTTCTGACGTTGGCCCTAGGGGATAGAGGCTCTCTGTGCATGGGTACCACGTGCACCTCCTTGAGGTCCCGGAGCAGCATGTGCCTGAACAATCCATTTCTCTTTTATTGAGGAACTCTTCTGAGCGCCGCCCTCTTCATCAGTGTTCCTCTGACATTACCCAAGACACTATGGGCATTTCAGGTTTCAGGATTACTTTGTGTCCTGTGGCCACGTTACTTTGAACAAACACCCAAGAGCAAGCTAGTAATTGTCTCTCATGGGGCATCCACCATGTGCTGTGCCTGGAAATGTTCTGGTCCACGATCTCAGCCGTCGCCACCAGGTGCACCTCACTGGCTTTTGCCATGAGCCCTTCTGATGGAGTTTACACCAGTGGGCCTACTGTGCAGAGAGTTGGCTCACAGCAGCACCCCAGCTTCTACCATGTCACTGACTAAAGTGCCAACCTCCTCTTGCCCGCCAGCTATTCTACAGCATGTCACGTTAGCAGCCAGTGCGGGCTCAGGCAACTGCGTTGGTCCTTTACTGTACGAAGACCCTGCTTGTTCTCTCAGCCCTAGATGTCACTCTCACCCACGAACCCTTACCACAAACACACACAGTCACACCATACATGCACACGCATGCACACACATGACCCTGTCCAGTTCCAGGTACCATGCCCTGACCAGTCTGCCCCAGACTCTCACACTCTTTTCTGCCCTAATGGGGTGGTAGCGGTGGCCTGACCGGCTCCCATCCCTGTCCCTGCAGCCAGATTTACTGCCACGGGGAGCTCCTGCACCAAGTTCAGATGGCCAAGCTCTACCAGGATGACAAGCACTTTGTGGACATGCCACTGTCCACAACCCCAGGTGAGGCACCTGTGGACTCACCTTCTCCTGAACCTTCTCCCCAAAGAAGCCAGGGGGCAAGACCAGGCAGAGAGGCCCCTCTGATCAGGCCCCCCCCGCCCCCCCCCGCTCTCCCCTCCCTGCTGCCTGCTCTCCAGACAGAGTCCTGCAGAGCTTTGACGAACTGTCCAAGGCCCACAACCACAGCATCCCCACGCAGCATCTGCAGGTGTTCCTTGCAAAATACTTCCAGGACGTGGGGCAGGAGCTGCAGGCCTGGACCCCTGAGGACTGGAAAGACAGGTATGACTCTGGGCAGGGAACAGGAGAGGGTCCTTCCAACAGGGCTGCCTCCTTGAACCCTGTGGGCCCTTTTCCAGCCCCCAGTTCCTGCAGAAGATCTCAGACGCCAAGCTGCGGGCCTGGGCAGGGCAGCTGCACCAACTCTGGAAGAAGCTGGGGAAGAAGGTATCGGTGTCTTGGGCCACCCAGGGCCTGGCAGAGGGGTCTGGGGCTGGGACAGAGGTATGCCCACAGTGTTCCCAGAACACAGATGGGGGCTCCTTTCCTGAGAACACAGTCCCCCACTCCCTGAAGCCCCAAATGGAAGCCCTCTAGAAAGAATTTCTGGAATACTTCTAACTCCTCACCTCCTCCAGGAAGGCTCCCCAGCCTCCCCCAGGCAAACCTCACCTGTCCCACTGCCTCCCAACACTGCTCTTGCATCACCTGCTAAATGTTCACATACCTGCTGGGCTTTTTCCCTTCCCTAAGCTCCTGGGCCAGGCCTCTGTCTCAGGAACAAAAAGTGCTACGTGCATGTGGCCAAGCATGTGCTCAGCGCAGTCCCGAGCTGCTTTCTCTCCTCTCTCTGAGGCTCTGCGAGGGCAGGGCGGAGGTTGCCCGAGGCCACACAGGACCACCCACGCTCTCTCCTCCCGCTCAGCCCTGGGCCCCGCACTCACTGGCACAAGCGCTGCTCAGGGCTCCTCGCCCACCCTTGGGGCACCCGTGGAACAAACCTGAGCCCCCGTTCTCGGCTCTCTCAAAATGCCTGAGCCAGGCTTGCCTTTCCCCACCACCAAAACACACATACAGAAGTATTAGTGGGAATAGCCGGGCGCTGTGGGACACACCTGTAGTCCCAGCTACCAGGAGTCTGAGGCAGGAGGGTCGCTTGAGTGTTCAGGGCTTCTACACACCATCAGGTTGAGCTGGGACTCCGGAGGCTGGCACGTGGGGGGTGAGGACACCACGGCTCCCAGCGCTGGCCCTCGACCACGTGGCTGAGCAGCAGCAGAGCCGGATCTCAAGCCCGGCTCCGAAGCCCGTGGCTGCCAGGGCCTCCAACCCCAGACTCCTGCAGCCTCCACTTCAATGAGGATTCTAGGCTCCCCGTGGCTCTCCTCTCTTTCCTGACTCCAGATGAAGCCAGAGGTTCTCAGCCACCCTGAGCAGTTCTCACTGATCTACTCGGCCCACCCCTTCATCGTGCCTGGCGGGCGCTTTCTCGAGTTCTACTACTGGTGAGAGGCCAGGGGGCTGCAGGGGCCAGCAGTGGTGGGGAACCCCGGGCCAGGAGGGTACACAGTGCCGACGGAGGCAGTGGGGTGATGGCTGAGCTGCCCCTTCCCCCAGGGACTCCTACTGGGTGATGGAAGGTCTGCTCCTCTCTGAGATGGCCCAGACGGTGAAGGGCATGCTGCAGAACTTCCTGGACCTGGTGAAAACGTGAGAGGGGGCTGGGCACTCCAGCCTGGGGGTGGTGGAGAAACAGGTGTGCCTTGGGCCTGGAACTGGGTTTGTCTTGGCGCCAGTCACTGGGCAGAGGGCATCTCAGCAGGCCTCCCTCTCGGCAGCTATGGGCACATCCCCAATGGCGGGCGTGTGTACTACCTGCAGCGGAGCCAGCCCCCACTCCTGACCCTCATGATGGACCGCTACCTGAGTCACACCAATGACACCGCCTTCCTGCAGTGGGTACCCCGCCTGCCCTGCAGGCCCACCCCATCCCTCAGACCTCCCAGGGCCGGGGCGGGGGTGGTGTGTCTGGGCTGACGTGCTGCCTGGCCCCACCCCAGGGAGAACATTGAGACCCTAGCTTTGGAATTGGACTTCTGGACTAAGAACAGGAGCGTCTCTGTCAGCTTGGGGGAAAACACCTATGTCCTGAATCGCTATTATGTCCCTTACGGGGGACCCAGGTGAGAAACTGCCCAGCCCACCCTTCAATCTCTTATCCACTCACTCTGGTTTGAGCATCACAACACCCTCAGGCAGAAGACGGTGACTTAGCTTGGTCTCTGGGACAACTGCGGGCTGAGGGGCCCTGGGGGCAGCTGGGTCAAAATGGCTCAGCCTCCTGGTTGGGCACAGGGGGCTTAGAGCCTGCTAGTAACAGGCTGCCCCCTCTGCTCTTTGCTAGGCCGGAGTCCTACAGCAAAGATGTAGAGCTGGCAGACACCTTGCCGGAGGGTGAGCAGCAGCAGGGTGGGAGGGCTGGGGGCAGGGTGGCTGGGCGTCTGCGCTGTGTCGGGCCTAGTCCCCCATCTGGGGCTGCATCAACCTGCAGCCAGGACTGCCTGGGCTCCCTGCTCTGTCCTCACAGGTGACCGGGAGACTCTGTGGGCCGAGCTCAAGGCTGGGGCCGAGTCTGGCTGGGACTTCTCTTCACGCTGGCTCACTGGGGACCCAAACCCCAACTTGCTCAGCAGCATCCGAACAAGCAAACTGGTGCCTGTTGACCTGAATGCCTTCCTGTGCCAAGCAGAGGAGCTGATGAGCAGCTTCTACGCCAGACTGGGTAAGCACCAGCGGGGAACAGTGCTGTTGAGATTGGGCTCCTGCCTGAGCCTTAGCAACAGAACTGGAAGGAGAACCCTGGGAGGAAGGGCCTTCCGCTGCCCAGCCTGCTCTGGGTACCAGCAGACAGGACAAGTGGAGCCCACCCTAATCTTCCCACTCCTCCTCCTTCTTACTGTGAAGGCCTCTAGGCCTGCGACGGGACCCGAGTCCACACATCCCCAATCCCTGCACTCCGTCTCCCTCAGACAGCTGCCCCCTGACCCTCAGAGCTAGGGGACTCTGCACAGCCAGTGCCCTCGGGAGGGTGGACCTGGGACAGGCCAGTGCAGGCCCCAGTGCAGGCCCAACTGCTCAGGGAATTCTAAGACCTAGAGGCCTGAAATGTGGGGGGCTCCAGGGAGGCCTGTGTCCTTGGTCCTCAGGATGTCTCAGCCCTCCCAGAGGAACACAGAGAAGGCCAAAGTAGGGTGATGAAAGGTATAGGGCCCGGAGATGGGGCTCTGGCTGCTCAGCCTAAAGCAGCACTGCCCCAGGGAATGACGCCCAGGCCGAGAAGTACAGAACCTTGCGGGAACAGCGCTTGGCCACCCTGAGCGCCGTCCTGTGGGATGAGGAGAGTGGGGCCTGGTTCGACTACGACCTTGACACTGGGAAGAAGAACAAAGAGTTTTACCCATCCAACCTCACTCCGCTCTGGGCCGGCTGCTTCTCTGACTCTGGCGTCGCAGACAAGGCCCTGAAATACCTGGAGGTGAGGACACAGCAGGTGTCTGTCCCACTGGGACAGGACTGGCCCCCCTGACTCTGAGCAGGACCTGGCAGGGGCCAGCCACTCCCTCCTGCTGTGCCCTCCTCTTAGCTGCGGGTCCCGCTGGAGCCACCAGGGGGAAGCTGTGAGCCAAGGAGACAAAGGCCAGGAAGAGGACAGCTGGCTTCCCACAGGGCCCAGCATCCTGGCTCCCCATCCTGCCCCCACCCACAGTCACAGTGTCTGGAACCTTCTAGGACAGCCACATCCTGACCTACCAGCATGGGATCCCAACCTCTCTCCAGAAGACAGGCCAGCAGTGGGACTTCCCCAACGCCTGGGCCCCCCTGCAGGACGTGGTCATCAGAGGTAGGGAGGCAGGCATGGCGCAGCCCAGGGCCTCCCCCAGCATGTAGAGGGTCGGCCTCCCTGGGCCTGGGCACGTGAGAACAAAGGACCCGGGGCCCCTGTCCTTCCTCCCACTCTGCTCTCCCGGCCCCCACTCAGCAAACCTTTGTGTCCAGCCCGCCCGGCCAGTGGAATCAGCCCTCTGTTCCCCCTCCAAACCCCAGCCCTAGATGAAGGGTGGCCTGGCCCATGGTTCCAGGAGGAAGTCCTGGGCCCAGGTCCCTTTCCCCTTGGGGAGAGTGAGGCCTGGCCTCTGCTCTCCCTGGGACGGGGGCTCTGGAGAGTCAGGGTGCTGCCTGGGGTGGGGTCTAGGCCTGGCCAAGTCGCCTTCACCTCAAGCCCAGGAAGTGGCTTTCCAGCTGGCCCAGAATTGGATCCGAACCAACTTTGATGTCTACTCCCAGAAGTCAGCCATGTATGAGAAGGTGAGCTGCCCTGAGCTGTCCCAGCGTCCCACCAGGGCCAACACTCCAGTCCCAGCGTCCCACCAGGGCCCCCTCCCCTCGGGGAGTTGAGGGGGGAGGGGTCAGGCTCTGCAAGCCCAGGCCAGGGCCAGCTCAGCAGGGACAGTGGCGGCGCCCAGTGGCCGTCCCTGGGCACTGCAGGGGCCAAGCTGCAGAGCAGAGTGGCTTCTCCCCAGGGGCTCCCATTGTTGCCTTGGGGTTGGGGTCATGGGGTTGCAGGCAGTGCCTGACCTACAGCCTGTCCTCTTGTCCCCAGTATGACATCAGCAATGGTGGACAGCCCGGTGGTGGAGGGGAGTATGAAGTTCAGGTGAGCAGGCCACGGTGAGCTGGCTAACAGCTTACAGGGAACCCCTAGGCTCTGCTGTCCCCCAAGACAGACTTCGGCCCCCCAGGCCTCAGTGTGCTGGCCTGTATGTGGGCCCATGGGAGGCGCTGAGGGGTGCTCCCTCGTACCCCTGGGATTAGGCAGGACCAGAGCCCCTGGGTAGAGATCCCACATCCCCAAAGGGCTTGAGGCCTCCCAGGGACCGGGCCCCACTGGCCGTGCCTGTCTCCAGGAGGGGTTTGGCTGGACCAATGGAGTGGTCCTGATGCTCCTGGACCGCTATGGTGACCGCCTGACCTCGGGAGCCCAGCTGGCTTTCCTGGAGCCCCACTGCCTGCTGGCTGCCCTTCTGCTAAACTTCCTGCTCAGCCTGCTGCCACGGTGACAGCCCCACCACCCTGTCTGCCCTCCCCACACGTGGCCCCAGCTCCGGCCCCATTAAACCTCTGCACCACTGCCTGCCTTCTCCGGGCCAGCCTCTGTTCAGAGTGGAATGGGGCAGGTCCCTCCTGGAACCTTGAATAGGGTGGAAATCCTGCAGTGAGGGGAGACCTGGCCCTACAACCCCCAGCGCCCCAAGTCCAGCTCATACCGCCTGGCCTTCCACACAGTTAGGTAGTCCAAAGGCTTTATTGTTCTGCTGAAATGCTTACAAATACTGAAAACCCCCCAGCCTGGACCAAAGGTCTAGGGCCAGGAATGAGGGCAGGGGAGGTGGGCTTAGTGTTAAGGCATGAAGGGGAGGCCAGACAGCTGAGGGCTGGTCCTCCACTCTCCATTCCATCGCCCTTCCAAGGCTGACGGGAGGGTGGCGGCACCTCAGGGCCCTTCCCCTCTGCTGCTTCCTCTCATGCTCGGGCTTTTCCTGTGGGAGCATCGGAGCAGCCCTCTTCCCTGTCAGAAACTCAACCCTGTACAGAACCCAAGGATGGCCCTTCCACCATCCTCCCCCATCGGCACTGCTCCTCTGCTCAGATCCTCCGGCTTCATCCCTTCTGGCTCTAAGCAAGGCACAAGTGGAAGGGAGGACTGGGCTGGGCCGGCAGGCTGTGCGTCAGAGCCGGAGACACAGGCCGGGGGCAGGGAGAAGGTGTTCAGTCCCTTCCCCCCAGCATGAGTCGCCCACGGGGGGCTGGAGAGATGATGGCACGTACCCTCAGATGGCCCACAGCTGAAACAGTGGGCAACTGGTATATAACCATGGCGACAAAGCAGTTACTATGGTGACCATGGTGATGGGTCTGCTACAAGGGGAAGGGGCTGGGACCTCAAGGATGATGCTTGAGATCTCCGGCCCTTGAGCAAAGTAGTAAAAAGTATAAAGGAAGGGAAAGCCAGGGGCAGAGCAGGTTTGAGAAGTAGCCGCCTGAGCTGTTACCCCACTGGGGGCGAGGCTCTGCTCCACCCACAAGGCTCCTGCAAAGGGGGCTGAGGCAAGGGGGGATCTTTGGCAGATTATGGTACCATAATTTGTCCTTTACAACAGAGAAAACAGGCTGGGGAGAGCAGAGCAGGTGCCCGGTCAGAGCCGAGAGGCCACTCTGCGACTGCTCCTCAGCCTGGCCAGCCTGGCACTGGACCCTGAAGAGTTATTGCAAGTTCTAGGCTCCCAGGGGACAGCAAAGCTCCCTCCCCACTTTTTAATCTTCCGGCTGGCTGGCTGGGTCTTCAGGGGGCCAGAGCCCACAGACTGACAGGACTGAGCTCCTTACAGAATATTACAAAGTCTTCCTGTACAAAAGCCCCAGTCACACACTGCCACGCCCTGCTGCTGTGAGCCTTGAGGCCCGGTGCACAGCTCTCTCCAGGGCAGCAGAGCAGCAGGTGGCCGGGCATGGGTCCTGGGACCAGCCCCGAGGGTCCAGGAGGCCCATGCAGTCAGTTCATGAATTGAGTGTAGCCCTCAGCCCCTGTGACGATGACATCCATCCAGATGCGCATGGCCTCTGCAGATGGGGCCACCATGTAGTACAGCCGGTCATGGGTCTTCACGCAGAAGGTGAGGGCTGGGTTTGGGCTCTGCCAAGGGGAGAGAGAAAGGTCTAAGACGTGGCTCACCCATACCCAGGAACATTCTCCTCACCTGCCTCCCTTTCTGCCCTTTCCCCTCCCAGCCCCTAGAAAGCCCTGGAGCATTCTCAGCCCTAGCTGAGTCCTAAATAGGCCCAAAGCCTAGTCCCCACCAGTCCATGTGGGCCACCATAGCAGTCCTGGGTTCTCTAAACCCTTTGGACCCTGGCAGGGGTATACCCCGCCAAGTAAGGACCTGTTCCTTGGCACACCCGGGTATCAAGACAATCAGACACAAAGAGCTGCTCCAGTGAGGACCAGAGTTTCCTCTCAGCAAAAAAGGGGCAGATGGAAAAGCTATAAGCAGGATGCTGAGCTCCAGGACCCCAGAGGGCTGGGGTGGGCAGCAGAGGGTTGGCAGGAAGGAGGCCAACTTACATAAGGGCGGCTGGCCCCAGCCTCAAATATCTCGTGTTTATCAATCCTCCTCTATCAGATCCAGTCTCTGGGGCCCCTCCAGAGGGGGGCTATCCCTTCTGCATTGCCAGCCCCACAGGGAGACACCCTGCTATCACCTCCAGGACAGGCAGGCAACAAGGAAGAGGGAGGTACTCAAGCCCACAGGAGCTTCCTTGCTTTGCAACCCACCTTCTGTTCCTCCCTCAGGCAGGGGAAGGGAGGGTGGAGGGGAAAGTCAAGGGTCAGGGGAGGTGGGGTACAGGAGGTGTTAATGTGCTGGTTATAGCTAAGTGGGGAGGGGTACCTCAGTCACCACAGTGAAGCGGAAAAACCTCTTCTGGGAAGGGGAGACGAAGAAAGATAAAGAAAGTTGACACAGAGAACAAGGACTGGGTTGGAGCCTCTGCAGAGGGCAGGCTGGCGGGCTTTGCTCCCAGAGCTCTGCTGGGCCACCCCTTCCCCATGGCTGTCCCCCCGCCCCCTCTGGCACCCTCCACTGCTGACCTTGGCTGCGCTGCGCAGGTGGTCATAGTACACTTCCTCGATGGCCTGGAAATAGATGACCCCCTTCAGCTTCGTCTCATGTTTGTCTGCAAAGGAAATAAGGGCGGGCTGAGGAGGCTCGTCACACTTCCAATTGAGCTGCACTGACAGGAGCTCCATGGCCTGAGCTTCCCCGACTGGGAAAAGGGGTGAAGGTTCTAGACTCCTAGGACCCCGAAACAAAGCCCCATATAGAACTCTGAAGATATGCTCAACCTCACTCATAATTACATAGAAATGCACATTAGAACTCCACCGAGATACCACCTTTCACCTATCAGAATGGCAAAACAACAATAACAAAAATACACCACACTTTTGGCAAGTCTGTGGTGAAACCGGCAGTCTGATGATAGGTAGCAGTATAAACTGTAAAATCCTTATGGACAACTTGGCCATGTCTATCAAAATCAGAAAGGCATTTGATCCCATGATTACACTTCTGAGAACTTACTCACACATGTACAAAATAAAGATTATTCATTGCAGCCCTTTTTGCAGTCATAAAAGGTGAGAAACAACCCAAGTATTCATCAAGTGGAGACTGGTTAATAAATTATAGTGTACCTCATGATGGAATACTATTCAGCTGTTAAATAGAATGATATAGAGATATCTGATATATCTTTTCTTTTTTTTTTTTTTTTGAGACAGAGTCTCACTTTGTTGCCCAGGCTAGAGTGCCGTGGCGTCAGCCTGGCTCACAGCAACCTCAAACTCCTGGGCTCAAGCAATCCTTCTGCCTCAGCCTCCTGAGTAGCTGGAACTACAGGCATGTGCCACCACACCCAGCTAATTTTTCTATATATTTTTAGTTGGCCAATTAATTTATTTCTATTTTTAGTAGAGACGGGGTCTCACTCTTGCTCAGGCTGGTTTTGAACTCCTGACCTTGAGTGGTCCACCCACCTTGGCCTCCCAGAGTGCTAGGATTACAGGCATGAGCCACCACGCCCGGCCGACAGTACACTCCTTATACACTGAAATGGTCTCCTCTGGCCAATTCCCTTGGCAAACTCCTAAGCAGTCTTCAAGACCCAGTGTAAATGTCCCCTTACAGTGCATGGTTGTACTCCCCTATGCTCCCACAGCACAATGCTCCTCTGTAGAGAACTCATGATGCTGAATCTGAATCCTCCTTTACCCATCCATAGGTCTACCTCCCCCAACACCAACCAGTAGGTGCCCGCACACAGTAGGCACTCCATCAGTGTTGAATGAATGAGTCCTAGGCACAAGGATCCAGAGAGAAGTCAGAGACCCTCTCAGGAACCTACCATCTAGTGGGGAAGAAAGTACAGACACACAGCCTATTCACTAGCTGTGTAACCTCAGGCATGGCTAGGAACTCCGTGAGAGCACCTCCGTATCACAGGCTATCATGAGTATTAAATGAGAGAACACACTCAACACATTTGGCACATTGTTGGCACATAACATGTGGCATCTGTCATTATATCATTATGCCCCTGAGCTGATGTCACATGGCAGAACGGACCCTGGATAATGCAAGAGTTCAGAGGAGGGCAGGAACCACTCCTACCTAGTAAGGTGGGTAGGAAAGGCTTTGCAGAGGTAATACCTGATGTGGACCCTGTGCAATGAGGGGGTTTCCACCAAGTAGGTGGGAGGAGGGTCCAGGTGGAACAGGCTGGGCATACCAGGCCCCTGATCTAGCTGCAGGCCCATCTCTGACATTTCCTCCTTGGGACAAGGACCCAGCCCTGCCCTGGGGTTGGGCCTGGTCAGCCCTCTAGTCCCTATTCTTTCCCATCCCTCCCTTCCCTGGAAATAGTAACACATCCCTGCCTCTGCTTCCTTACCACCCGCCTACTCTGGATCCTGTGCAATCTGGCTCCTGCCCTGTGCACAGCGGAAACCCCTCTCTTGACAAGCTCCCATCCCTGAGTCTAATCGCCTTTAGGCCACATCATTCTTGGCAAATCTGCAGCATCCATCATCGCTGGTGACACCTCCCACTTGCAAATGTCTGCTCCTTTGGTTGGCTTCCTTCCCTGTTTCCGCCCCCATGCCCAAGCCTGCCATCTGAACTTGGTCTCCTTTTGTTTCATAGACATGAAGTAAGGTCACATGTGCCAAGCACGGGTCCAGCACCTGGCACATGGTCAGTGCTGGCTTCCTGCCCCCTGCTCCTTCTCCCTTTGCTGTTCTGTCCTCTTCCTCTTTCCCCACATGGGCAGGCCTGCCCCAGAGCGCAGCCCTCTCCCTCCCCTCTTCTCTGCTCTGAAGTCTAATTGCCCAGGTACAGTCTTAGCCCTGCCTCATAGGAGCTGTGAGGCCTTGGGCAATTTAATTTAACCTCTCTGAGCCTCATTTTCCTCATCTGTAAAATGGCATTAAGATAGTGCTTCCCTCATAGGATTATTACAAAGATTAAATGAGATGACGCACGTGGAGTGCTTAGCACAGCATCTGGCTCATACAAGCACTCAAGAAATATGATCTGCTATTATTAGTAGTAGTACTGTTGTTCCAGCAGACTCACCTATCACTCTGCCTCTGATCCTGACCTTTCTGCTAAACCTAGATGTCCCAGAGGCATTTCAACCTCAACATGCCTAAAATGCCGCTCTCCTCCCCAGCCGTTTTTTCCTCTCCAGACAGTCCCTCCACCTTCCCAGCCCAGACTGAAACATGGGGACACCTGTGCCTCTGCCTCCCCACACCTGGGACCCAGGGTGGTCAGGGAAGGCTTCTTGGAGTGGGTGGCACTTGATCAGAGACCACGTTAGAGGGGGAAGCAGGCACTCCAGGCCTGAGCATCGCTGGCACCAAACCCTGCATCCCTTTCCCCCTTCCAGGCTGCCAGTAGGATTCCTCTTCCCAACTTAGGGGCTGCGGGGTGAGGGCGGGGCTGTGTGACTGACAGCCCCACCAGTGACTTCTAGACAGACATGATGTGTGTCACTTCCCAGCTGGGGCATTTAATGCCAATGCAAGGCTCACTCAAGCCTCTCTTTTCCCTGTGCCACTATGGCCAGCAATGTTCCAGAAAGTTGTGCTCTGAAGCAAAGACGGCCCTGATATGGGGCAGAGCCCCACCAACCTACAACCCACAACAGACATGTATCAGGAGTAAGAAAGGCAACTTCATGGTTTTAAGCTACTGGATTTTAGAACTGGTTGTTAATGAAGCACGCTCAGGCCTCTCCTGACTGGGGTATGACACAGGCTCTCGAGCTCCCTGGAGGGAGTTCCAGGAATGGGAAACTAAGCTGGAGGCTGGAGTGGAGAGAGCTGAGGGAGCAGAATGGGCCAGCCAGCCTGTCCCTGGGCTGTCCTGAGTGCTCCTTGGCACCACTAAACTGCTTCTCTTGGAGTCTCTGAGGGAATTTGTCCAAGGGGGAGTCCCTAGTCCAACCCAGACCATAGGACCACCCCATGGTCCTAGAGTGTCCAGGCATCTCCCATCAACATATCCATTGCACCTTTTTTTAACTCAGCCTATGGAGACCCTCCCTGACAATAAGTTCTGAGACAGAGCTGTGGCCATTTTGCCTATCAGCTGAGCATAGAACAGTGCCTAGAATATAGATATAGCTGAATGAAAGCATGAACACATAAATGGAGGTAAACCAGGTATACTCTGGGAGGGAAGCATAAGGCCCAGCTCAAGCCTCTGGCCTCCTTCCAGAAAACCAGCTATCCTGGGTGACAGAGCCCAGGGGGCCCAGCTCTGGCTGGCTCTGGGGACGGTCTTGTGGAAACTCACCCACGTAATAAGAAAGGGTACGCTTGAGGCGGTCAAAGACAAACCAGCGCTTCTTCCATGATTTAATCTTGCCACCCATCTTGACCAAGTAGCCACGGCAGACCTGGTGGGAAGCAGGAGTAAGGAAGGACCCAAAGGCACAGCCCTAAACCTTAAACGTGCGCCACAGCCTGTGGCTGTACTAGGAGGGCTGTCTCCCACACCTCTTCAGGCCAGCACAGCAGGTCCTGGGGCAGAGACCTGGTCAGATAAGGGCAGGAACCAAGGCCCCTACTCTGAGGACCTGGGAGGTGCCTCTGACCAGGGGGGAGGGGGCCCTCCCTCCCTCAGCACCCGGGGGCCACGCGAGGTGCACCTTGCTGCTGAGCACCACGTGCAGGCAGGTATCGACACCGTGGCCTGACGACTCGATGTGGGTCTTCAGGTCAAAGTCTTCCTTCCGGATGGGCAGGTAGCGGGTCAGAGGTCGTGCCTGGGGGCAGAAGGCAGGGTCAGCAGCACAGCCTCCTGTCTTTCCCCATCATTCCCCTGTCCAAGCCCCTGGGCTTTTGTCCTAAACCTCACACAGCCTGACACCGCCCCTTCCCGGCCCCCAGCGCCGTCACTCTGATTTCACGGGGTTTATGGCAAAAGTGGCGACCTGAACACCAGTGCTGACTCTACCTAGGCCCAGGCAAACTGCTAAGCGGCTTCACACCTCAGTCTTCACACCCTTGACCAAGACACAGCCATCCTTGTCTTGGCCCTCCCCGTCCTGGGCTGAATAGACTAAAGCAAGAGGCCAGATGTGAACATGCTCCGGGAAGAGATGCCCGATGAGCAATCTGGTCTCTGACTTCCCATTGGGACCTCATTTGAGTCACATCCTTTCTCTAGGCCTCAGTTTCCTTACACGCAAAACAAGAGTTTTGAACTAGAGAACTACTAAGGTCTGTTCCACCTCTGATACTAACTGGAATTCTCAGCCAACTGGGATATTTTTCTACTCTTCCTTTGCCAAAAGAACACTAAAATGGCAAGAAAAGGAAACGTCACAAATTATTTAAAGAAAAACCCAAACACATAACCCCAAAGATGAGCTGACTCCGCCCCCGTCTCACAGCAGATTCTGGTGGCCCCTGCAATAATGCCTGGCCTCAGGACTGGGGCCCCCGGGGCGGTCCCTGATTGAGGCAGGAAAGGGGAACCAGCCATCTCACAAATATTCTAACCACAGAGGTAAAACTCAGAGTTTCTCATTTTTTTTTTTTTTTAGATCCAGGGAGACAGACTGGAAATTTCTCATTTTTTAATTCCCAAACCCAGTCAAGGTGATTGGTGTTACTATCCCTAGATAGAATACTATCCAGGGATAGTATTGGATTGGATTCTATCCCTTAGAATTTATATTGCTGCATCATAGGAAATGGATGGAGCTGTGATCACTGCCTACTGTTGGAGGGAGGGCCCAGGGGACCCCCACCCTGGGGAAACCGATGGAGACCCAACTGGAAGCCCTTCTGAGTCCTCCAGTTCTCATGGGGGGGCAGCATCTGGGACCAGAGACACGGGCAGATTTCCCTGCCCAACCCAATTTCTCCTTCTACCTTCAGCTGTTCTGCTCCAGTCTCCTATTTAAGGAGAAAGGACAGGGCTGGTTTTTGTGCAAGGAAGGATTTCTGTCCTAAGGAGAAACTAGTACAATTCTCTCTTAGAGCTGTAAACCAAAAGTTAGAGTGAGGTCATCCACTGATGGTGGGGACCGGAGCTGAAAGGTCCTGTGGGTGAGGGCCAGGGTGCTATGGAGTTGCACTAGAAGGCTCACAAAGCAGATAAGAGGCCCCGGAGAGAAGCCAGGGGGAGCCACCTGGTTCTTGAGTCTCAGCTCCCATCTCGGGGAGGCCTGTTCAGACCCTCGTCTCTGATCCCAGATGACTGCAAGGTGGTCACCTCTCACGACCTCCCCACCCCAATACACACACACACACACACACACACACACAGAAGCTTTAACAGGTCCCCGTGGTCTGTTTCTTGGGGCCAGTCCCAGGTAGAATTCTATTCGTGCTAAGCCAACAGCAATCCTTTCTGGAGTAGCATGGGTTTTACGGCCCAGCGGAGGAACCCTGGGATCTCCCTACTCCTCCACAGCCCCCACCCTCAAGCCAACCGCCGCCACCACCACCCCCACACCCTCACCTGAGAAAACTGTTTCTCCCGCATCTTGACCTCCTTCTCCACCAGCTGCTGCCTCCGGGCACTCTCACTCTGCAGCCTCCGTTCCACCTGCTCGCGCCTCCGACGCTCCTCCTCCAGGGCCTGCCGCCGCAGCTCCATCTCCCGCTCCTGCCCCCAAAGCCAGGCTCAGTGCCCGCAGCCACCCTCTCCCCACAACCAGCCCTCCTCAGACCTGGGCAGAGCTGCAGGAGGCCCCCACCCGGGGGGCAGTCTGGCATGAGGAGGCACCACCTGCAAAGCCCACCCTCTCTAAGAACGCTGCCTGTTACCGATAAATGATTTTAACATGTGTGACTGTCCTGCCTTCAAACCCTGGCTCTGCCACCACTGTGGGCTCTGTGACCCTGACAAAAAGCACTAAACTTTCCAAGCCTCAGTCGCCTCATCTGTAAAGTGAAGTTAAGTTATAATCCCACTCCTGGGATTATAGTGAAAATTTAATGAGATCATGTATACAAATAACTGTCACTAATTCCAGCAGGAAAGAAGGAACTTAATAAACAAATGTGGCTCTCACAATTTTGTCTCAATTCTTAGAACATAGATTATCCATACGACTTTTCTTGACAGCTAATATATTCAGTAGTCTTTCCCCAATCACTAACTTAAGGCCCTTTGAAACTCCAAATTAGAAACATTTGCTGTTGAAGTTCAAACTTGATGAAGAAAACAAAAAAATGATTAGAGACTAAGGACACAATTGAACTTATAAAAGCCATCATAAAAGAATTTTAAAGGTCATTAATACAAATCATTAGATACATAGCATGAGTGGTGCTTTCTATGTCCTAATCAATGATAAACACCCCTACACCATTAACTCCCACTTGCAATTCCTTCCCAGGGCAAAACTTAGCAGAATCTCCTTTCCCTCCATTTGCCAAGATAAACTTATAAATCTGCCATATTTTGATGTAAGAGGCATTCTTTTCTGGTTGGTCCTCCATCCAGTTAGTACTTTTTGAAAAAAAAATCCATCCAGCTGCTGAGGTCTCACTTTCTTCTCAAGAGATGCAGAGTACCTTGCACGGTGGTCACCGAACATCTTCTGCAGATCCTTCCTTTAACCTCCTGCCCAGGCACAGATTTCCTCAGCTTGCCTATGCCCAGGATAAACCACAGGTCCCTCTCTGCCAAGTCCAGCTCTGTGCTCATGTGAAGGAGCTGTGACTTCCCTCATCCCCCTCTGCCCCCCCCCCAGGCTCCCCAGCCAACACCTCTGCTCCAGCTTGGACTTCTGCCTCTTCTGTTTAGACCTCAACCCCCAGTTCCTGCTCTTCCTAACCGTGCCCAAGAGGAGTGACCTGCTACGCAGGTAGATAAGAAGCAAAATTCCTGTGGTTGTCAAAGAGCAAAGAGTCCACAGAAGTAAACTCACAAAGACTGGAGGTTTCCATATAGGAAATTCTTGGTTGGACAATGGTTACTCTGCTGCCTTCTCTGTTCCGAAGAGCTATGGACTTGTAATCTCGCCAAGCCTCCCTATGCCCATTTGAGGAACACAACCCTTTAAAACACTTTCTATCCCAAGGGAAGGTTGCAAGGCTAATGTGGGTGGAAGGGCTTGGGGGGGAGCAAGGGCCTTGGCAGGCAGCAGGCAGCTGTGGTGCCCCCTCCACCCCGCCTTCTGCCTGTCTGGTCCCAGGTCAGCCTCACCCTTGACTCCATGAGCCGGCTCTTCTCTGCATGAGCCTCTTTCAGCATCTTCTCCATCTCCTCAATCTTCCCCACGTCCAGACCACTCGCACTGGGGAGAGAAGGGGAAGAGGGGGTGCATCAGGGAGCCCAGGAGCAGCTGGTGGAGGCAGCGGGCCCAGGTGTGGGGAGGTACCTGGACATGTTGTCAGGGGAACAGGCCGAGTTGCCCCCCGTGGAGATGCTGGTCTCCATGCTGTCGGAGCTCTCCAGGCTCAGAGTATCGTAGGCGTGCTCGCCCTCCTCCCCACGCTCCCGCCCAGCCGGCAGGTGGTGTAGGATGGAGTGGTGCATGAGTGGGGGAAAGCCCGAGGGGCCTGCTGGGAAGGGCGCAGACCCGTGCAGGGCATCCCACTGGCACTGCGCCTCAGCCGCTGCTTTCTGCTTCAGCTCAGCCAGTCGCCGCCGTTGCTCTTCAATCACCTGCTGGCCTGCAGGAGGGACAGGTGGGAGTCACAGTGGGATCCCCACCCACCAGGCGGAGGGAAGACACTGGCAACATCACAGACAGAGGGAAGAGGCGAGCAGGGAGAGGTTAACACAGAGCAGCCCCCTCACCCACCCCCCAGCTCCCAGCCAGCTGCCCTGCCAATACAATACTTCAATCGCCTGCACAATTGGCCACAGCCACACAGTCTGGCTTCAGTGCTCTTTCCACATCCTGACCCCACACAGGGCACCAAACCTGCCCAGGTGGTGCCCTGGAAGTGTGACAGCCAGCTGGCTCCAGCCCACAGCTGAGGCCTAAATAGGTGGGCAGGACACATGCACCTGCCCTGCCAGCTGGGGAAGGGAGAACGAAGAGACAGAGAAAGCCCCATGAGCACCCAGGACGCCAATGCAGAGCCCCCTGCAGTGCAGAAGCAAGAGCAACAAAAGCAGGAAATAAGGCAGGGGACACAGGGAAAAAACAGCAGAGGGCAGGAGAAAGGTCAGCCAGAGGGGTGAGGCCAGCCGGACACCCCAACCAGCTCAGCCTGGGAGCCTGCCTGCAGGCAGTGGCGGCCTGAGCAGGACACATCATGCTGATGCCAGGCAAGGGCTGCCTGGCCAAAGCAATGCCCTCTGGGATCAACGCTCTACCTGCTGGGTCGTCAGTTGGGAGGGGCTCGGCAGGAAGCGACTCGACTGGCGTGGGGGGCCCCGGGCAGAGGGTACGGTAGAGACACACAGCAGGGATGAGAGGAGAGAGAGGCATAGACATGGACTTTCAAAACAACCAAACTGCACACAAGCAATAAGGACTCCTTGGTCCCCAGAGCCAATATCTCAGTGAACCAATTCTGGAGGTCATCAGATTCATTCCCCTGCCTCCAGACAGGGCAATGTCTAACCCTACTCAGGTCAACAAGCATTTCCCTTATTTGCTATGCTCTCTAGGAAAGAAAATGGCACAGCCTCCCAGGCCCTTAGTCTACTGTGCTGGCGTCTTTTGATATACATCCAGGAGTCTCTTCTTTAGGTGTCCAATCTAAATCCTTTCTGCTCTTGCCGCAATCCCAATTAAAGGAAAAACATCCTGTGAAGGTGTGGGGTATCGGCATGGATGAGGCATGGGGGAGGGATGGCAACTATCCAGGGTCCCCCTGGAGAGCAGGTGGGCTGGCATTGCAGCCACTCACCCTTCTGCTGCAGAGCCAATTGGCGCTTGGTCTCAATGTCCTGCAGCGTAGCTGCCAGGTTGCGTGGAAGGCTGCCCGTGCCATTCTGGGAGAGTAGAGCACTCTGCAGACGGAATGGAACATTGGAACCTGGGCTCAGAAGACCCCACCCCCACCCCCAAGGCTTTCATGGGTGGCCTTGCCCTCTCTAGCCCCCACCACACATGCAGCCCCAGCCCTGTCCTCAGACCTTTGGGGAAGGGCTACGGCCCAGGGTAGCCACGCTGAGCTGGGAGGAGGAGGAAGAAGAGCCAGAGGAAGAGGGGAGGGGGCCGCTGCGGGTCCGAGGCAGAGGGCTAGTGGCCTCACCATCCATTTTGGAGCGGTAAACCTGGAGGGAAAAGATACTGCCTGGTGACCTCTGGTTCCCCGACTGGCCACTACCCCCATGTCACCTAGGCTGGCTGTGATCAGAGATACTGCCCTGGCACCAGGCCTCTGAGGCTTTTTGGCTACATCTAACAACAGGGTTGAGCCTCCTGGGCCAGCGCAAAGGGCAGAAGCTATTGGTGGCTGCCAAGTCTCCTTTCCAGGCTATTCCTCTCTGGGCCAGTCCCTGGCCCAACCCTGTCCTCCTCAGAAAGGACCTGTAAACAGACCCACACAAGGAGTTAATGTCAGTCAGGCAGAGTGTGTAGGAGACCAACTGGAGGCCAGCTTCCCTCTGGTCTCAGCTCTGCCAGTGACCTTGGGCCATGCACCTCCCCTCTCTGGGCCTTGGCTTCCTTATTTGCAAAAGAGGGTAAAACTAGACTAAATAACTGACAAGCTCCCTCGCAGCGCTAACGTACAGTGAACACGGCCCTTGGAGTTAAGAACCCTGACTCTCAGCACAAGCTCTGCTACTTCCCAGATGTGTGACCTTGGGAAGATTACTTATCTTCTCCAGGCCCCAGTATTCCATCTGTAAAATGCCATCCTCCTGCCTCAGTATCCCGAGTAGCTGGGACGACAGACACACACCATCACACCTGGTTAAAGGTATGAATCTTGAAAGGTGGAATCTCAGGCACTACAGCAGGTCAGTGGAATGACACTTGGGGAAGAGACTATCTTAGCACCCTTTCCCCACCCTCATGGTCACTGCCTGATGCGGACTGAGGTGGGCCCATGCTCTCCATGGCAACTCTGAAGAGGCTTGGGCATGTCCTCAGGGCTGTCACTTCAGAGTCTTTGTCCCCTCCTTTTCTGCCTCCAAATGTCACCCCTGGGGAGACCAGGAGAATAAAATACTGGCAGTTCTCCCAGGATAAGCTAGTTCCAGTTGCAACAGGCAAAAGAATGTGTCAGGCCCCAAAACTGGGTAAGAGGCTCTGGGATTGGGGGCTGCCAAGGATAGAACAGACCCGCAGCCTAGCTCAGCACAGGGTACCAAACAGATCTCAACATGACCATGGCTCCAGAAGCCACCCCCTTCTACAAGATAGTCAGTCATGTTCTTGCACTCAGGGGCTGGCCTTCCCACCACCCAAAGTGCCAGGATGGCCCATGGAGAGACTTTCACTCCTTCACTGCCCTCTCAGGGCCCAGAGTCCCCCTCTGGGGGGACTGGCTGGACAGGCCCTGGCAGGGCTCCCCTACCCAAGGCAGTACTGTGCAGCTGGTGGATCTGCAGGAAATACTCAGAGAAGACAGCAGCAAGGACTGGGGCAGAGGGCAGTGAAGAACAGGTTACCTGCAGCTGACGGGAAGCTTTGGCAGGCAGAGGCGGGGGGGAGGAGCGAGGGGAGGCTGCAGCAGGGCCAGTCCCCAGCCCGGCCATCAGCTCCTGGTACCACTGCTCTAAGTCTACAGCAGGGAGCAGCAGCTTCTCCATCTGGAGGGGGAGATGGGGAGGGGGCCAGGGGACAGGAGGGGAAGGATGGAGAGGAAAGGCCAGGAAATGGGGAGAAAGGAAAAGGCAGGAGAAGGGAGGAAGAAGGAAGGGGAAGGTTGGAGGAAGGGCCATGTCAGGGAAATGGACAGAAGGTGAGGGAAGAAGGGGAGGAAGGAGGGGAGAGAGAGCATAAAGAAAAGGAAGAGAAAAACAGTGAGAAAACAGTTGCCCGAAACGTGCTAAGGGCAAAGAGAAACAGTCAGGGTACAACTCCCAGACCACAGACACGGGTATGCCGGCCATGACACCAGCCTCCAGCCAGAGCCTCAGGCCCCGAGCACTGCCCTGGTGGTGGCCTAGGACCGAAGCCAGGTCAGCAGAAGCAAAACACGCACAGAGCACGCCAGTCAAGGGGCAGGGGTGGCACAAACTCACAGACCACCAACCTTGGGTAAAGGCGTGATGGAAGCGAAGGAGGAGGAGGAGGAGGGCAGCACAGGAGGAAGGCAGGTGGTGGGAGCCAGGTCCCGGGAGGCAGAGGCCCAAGGAGGCAGGCCTGGCGCAGGGGCTGGGGGCACGGGCGAGGTGCCCCACGTCACCTTTAGCTGCTCAAGCGTCACGTACTTGGGGAAAGGCCAGACGCAGGAGGGAATACAAGACGTTAATGGGGCTGGAAGGTGAGAAATGGCCCAGCCCGAGGGGGAGGGGAGGGAAAGGGTAGGAAGCACAGAGCAGAGGCTTACAGAGCCCACAAGGCCAGGAGAGCCAGAGTCCTCTCAGCACGAGCCCCTCATCCCAGAGCAGAAGGCCTGGCCCTCCCAGAGCCATGAAGAGCTAAAGGAAGCTCCCGAGGCCCCAGGGAAGAAAGGGAACCACTCCTGACCCCCCTGTGCGCCAGCTGCCCTACTTTCTCACTGTTGAAGACAGACCCTGCTGTCCCACCTCCACCCAGGCCCAGGAGGGAATCTAGGGCATCCACAAGCAGGCCCTTGGGCACTGGTAGGCACCCTTGGTGGCTGGTACCTCACTGTCAGGCAGAGGCTGGGCGAGCACACTGGGGGAGGTGGCAGAAGCATAGGGGTCCAAGCGGGAGCACAGCTGGAGAACCTCTGCCAGGCTCACATATTCCTAAGGTGCCCAGTGAGAAGGGGAGGGATGGGCGGAGAAGAGGTTAACAGGTGCATCCAGGTACCCAATACACCATACTCCAAGCCAGGCCACAGGGCCATCACTCCATGTCAGGCCACAGGGCCATCATTCCATGTCAATACAAAATCCACAGGAGGAGTGGGGCATTCAGCTGCCCACTATGGCCATAGATGGCTGTGGGGGTAGCGGGGACCAAGAAAGGGTGGTCAGACCCAGCATGCTGACTGAAGGCTCCTTCTGACCTCCACTTTGGGAGCCCCCTTAGCATCCACTCCCTGTCCCAGCAGACCCTAAAGGCCCATGCCTGGGTTCGCACTGGGCTGGGAGCAGGCAAGGAAGCCCAAGGAAGGCCTTCTAAGAGCCCGCTGAGAATCAGGACCCAGCTCCCAGAGATCCACCTGTCTCCAACACCCTGGGCCCTGGGTATTCCCGGTGGGACACACACATGCAGCACTGAGCACCAATCATGTCATTCCCCAGTGTCCCTTGCAGCCCACCTGCCAGGGCAGGAGCTGGAAATGCGTAGGGGAGGCGGAGACATCACCAGGGCCTGAGCAAGATGGGCTCTGAGAAAGAGGCCTTAGCAAGGAGCAGCTAAAAGCCTGGCAGAAAAATGGGCCAGTCACTGCCCAAGGTAAGTCCTTGGAAAGATGCCAGCACAATGATTGTGGACTGGGAGGCCAGGGACTGTCATATTCATCACATATCCTTAGAATCTGAGCTTATCTAGGTGCTGGGAGCACTGCAGACATCCACAACGCATGCTGAATCAAAGCACAGGATCCTAAGCCCTGTGCCAGGAGCCCATCCAGACGGAGCTCCAGAACCAGATTGTCCTCTGGGGGCTCACAGAAAAGGAAAATGAGCCAGAGGGTTCAGCGTATTGTGAGAACTGATGAACGACATGCAGAATATAGGCAAATTAATATGCAGATCGACACTCTGACTTTCCACAGGCTGCCCAGGCACGCTATGGAACAGTGGGCGGTTGGTAGCACATACACACTCTCCCAAACTCTGGCCAGCCAAAGGGTTATTGCCACATGCCCTTCAGCTGGGCCCTGGGAAGAGCTGTAGGCAGGAGCTCAGCGGGCAGGCAGTGGGCAAAGCAGAACACGCAGTTAGCTGTGGTTACCTCTTGTGCTTTGGGGCAGAGTGGAGTGGAAGCAGGTGGGGTTAAGGGGACAGAGGATGCCCCAGCCTGAGAAGACCCTGGGAATAGGCCCAGAGTCTTAGTCCCCAGCTCCATCCCTGAGGACTCGGAGATGAGCAGCTCACCCTACAGAGAGGGCACATGGTGAGGAGCTGTACCCCTCACACTCAGCCCAGCCCCCCACCCCCAGCCTAAACTGACATGTAAGTGAGGCAGAGAGGGAGGGAAAGAGGTCAAGAAACCCGATGTCTTACTTGGACTTCATGCACCAGGCTTGCAGAACTAGGAAACACCACTTAAGGGGCTCAGTGCCCCCTTATGAAAGGGGGGCTCCCGACTAAAGCCCAGGAACCCCAGAAGCAGCACCCCTAGATCCCTCTGCTCCCCCTCAAGGTGAGTCCACCCAGCCCTGACCCCTACCAAACCCCTGAGCTGTCCACCCACCCCACTTAGGCCCTTAAGCCCCCCACATATATGCAGCCACCAAAAACAGTGAGATCAGTGGGCTCCCAGGAGCCCAAAAGGCAACTAAAAAGAAGCAGCCGGTAGCCAGAGAAGGTCAAATCCCAGATCTCAAGGCCATTCCTCCACAAATCTTTCCAGTTCAGGAAGATGCCCCCTTACTCAAACTCAGCCCCAGACAGGCTCTAAAAGCCCATACCTGGGTTTGTCCTGGGCTGGGGGGCAGGCAAAGCAGCCTAGGGGCCTCCCAAGACCCCGCTGAGGATCAGGACCCAGCTCAGGACCCAGGGGTAAAAGTGCCACGTGTTGCTCCAGAGCCTCCCAGGACAGCCCTTGGCCCTAAAACTTGGGCTTGCCCAACCATGTTACCTCTTTGAGGGTCGATGGGGTCTTCGGGAAAGGTCTGCCCCCTGTGAGTGAGTGGTATCTCCTTTCCAGCATGGCCAGTTTCTCCTTCTCCTGTGCACGCAGGGTGGCAGGGCGGTAGTCAGAGGAGCGAGAGTGAGGACAGACCACATGAGACGGGCCCCTGTGCTGCTGGCAAACCTCCACCCCAGCCCTTCCGCGCTCCCCTCCCACTCACCCTACTCCCAGACCCCAGACTCCAAGCCCAACCTGAGGGATGCTACCTTCTGCAGCAGCTGCAGGGAGGCATTCTTGTCACGGGCCAGGCGCTCGGACTCTTGCACGGCCTGGGCGCGGATCTGCCCAGCCTGACTGTCCAGGACTGCCAGGCGCTCCTAGAGGAGATGGGGTGGTCGGTCAGCCCTGGGGAGACAGGGCTGAGCCCAAGGTGAGGCTTGGCTTACTCTCCTGCCCAGAGACCCAAGGTTCAGGCTCAGCCTCGACTCATCCCAGGACAACTCAGGCCCCTCCCCTGACCAGAGACCCGTCTGCCAGCAGACACACTAGTTAGCACCCAAATCCCCAAATCTCCCTTCCCTCACCCCACAGCCAATAGATACCAAAGCCTAGAAACACTGACTAGTTCTCCAACCCCCCCCATCCCCTCCATCCCACCCCACTGCCACCACCCAAATCCAGGCCCTCCACTTCTTGGCCTGGAACTTATCAACTCCCACCTCTTGGGAGGAAGGGGCAGGAAAAATAAAGCCCTCTTCTTCTCTCTCAACTTTCTGATCCACTCCACATTGCCACAAAATATCTTCCTAAAATGGTCTTGAGGTTTTGAGTTTCCTAATCTCTCTAAAAAGAAAAAATTCTTTCTTTCTTTCATTTTTTTTTTTTTTTTAGAGACAAGGTTCTGCTATGTCACCCAGGCTGGTCTTGAATTCTAGAGTTCAAGTGATCCTCCTCCCTCAGCTTCCCAAGTAGCTAGGACTATAAGCATGCACCACTGCACCCAGAAAAATTACATTCTAAAAAGAAATATTGCTTGAATAATTTTGTTTTTAGAGACAGTTACTCTGTTACCCAGGCTGCAGTACAGTGGTATGATCACAGCTCACTATAACCTCAAACTTCTGGGCTCAAGCAATCCTCCCACTTCAGCCTCCTGAGTAGCTAGGACTACAGGCGCATGCCACCATGCCCAGTTAATTTTTTTTGTTTTTTGTAGAGATGGCGTCTCGGGAGGCTGAGGCAGGAGAATCACTTGAGCCCAGGTGTTTGAGGTTGCTGTGAGCTAGGCTGACACCATGGCACTCTGGCCTAGGCAACAGAGTGAGACTCTGTCTCAAAAAATAGGATTCAAAGCTATTGGACTCCAAGGCCAGTAATCTGAACCACTCTGAATGAGGTGGAGGGGACAGGGGAGCACAGGGCATCAGGGAGACAAAGGCTGGGGTAGGATACTGGGGGCCGGGGATGAAAGCTGGGCAAGGCTCATGAAGAGGAGCATGAGGAGGAAAGTGAGGGTCTCAGGGGCTAAGCCCCATTTTCCCAGGGGCCAGAGTGGGCATGTGAAGAGGAGTCCACTACTGCTGTCCTCTCCCAGCCTCCCTGGAGCTTATACCTACCAGGACCTCAAAGGGATGAGATTAGCTGATCTAAGGCTCCCTGCTGCATTCCCTCCAGAGGAAAGAGGAAGAGGCTGGAGAAGTGCCAGTCCCTAGCCCCAGTGCAGCAGAGTGGAAGGAACATGGGATTTGAGGGTTCTAACTCTGACTCTGAAGCTTATATGCTAAGAGGCTTTGGTTAAGTATGTAGCTACTAGCCCTACTTTCCTTGTCTATAAAATGGAGATAAGAGTGTCTGCCTTGTGAGACCATGCTAAGGACAACGAGAGATAATCCAAGGAAGCCTCCTGGCAGGGCGCCTGGCACACACCCATGTGCTTGGGAAATATCAGTTTTTTTCCTTCCTTTCAACAAGCAGCCTGACATCCAGAAAGTGAATGCATTTGAATGGCAGAGCAGCTCAGGGAAAGGAGTGAGGGATGTGAACTCAAGGGAGGTCCAGCAGCTCCCTACTTAACCACCAACTCCGGCTAGCCAGCGAATCCTCCAACTCACCACCTTTGGACACCCTTTCCCTGATCTCACCACTCTCACCTCCCACACACTCACTCCAGCCAGGCAAATTGCACAGGCATGCACATATGTGCATGGACACATGTTTCAGCCATGAGTGCATACGCTGCTTGGGCCATCACCCCATCTTCCTCCCCACCTCCTAACCCTTGCTAGCACATGCCTTCTCCTGACTTTCCTCCCTACCTCCACACTCATACTACTTGCCACATCATCCTGTCACTGTCTGTGCCTGGTCTGGCTGCGATCAGGAGCAAACAGACCCAGCACCTAGCATCACAGCTAGCCAGGACACAGTATCCAACCCTCTTGTTTTATAGCTCCGCCAAGCCAGAGCTGAGGCAGGGCTGCAACTAGGTGGATCCTCTTTCTAGGGCTCCCAGCTGGCTCTAATATCCAGATCTCAAGTTTTTGTGCCCAGCACTTCCATCAGACAGAGAGCTGTACAAGGGCAGGGGCAAGCCTACTACTTCTCCATCTCCATCTTCCATGGGTGCCCAGCTCTGTGATCTGAATCTGCTTTCCAGGCCAGTGAGGTGGCTTATGTCTGTAATCCTAGCACTCTGGGAGGCCAAGGGAGGAGGATCGTTTGAGCTCAGGAGTTCGAGACCAGCCTGAGAGAGAGTGAGACCCTGTCTCTCTACTAAAAATAGAAAAATTAGCCGGGTGTTGTGGTGGGCGCCTGCAGTCCCAGCTAGTTGGTGGCTGAGGCAGGCTTGAGCCAGGAGTTTGAGGTTGCAGTGAGCTATGATGACTCCACTGCACTCTAGCCAGGGACACACAGTGAGACCCTGTCTCAAAAAACAAAAAAAAAGAAAAGAAAAGAAAAAAGAAAGAAAGAAAGAAAAGAAAACTGAATTCACTTTCCACCAGAAGACTGAGGGGAGACAGGGCTTAATAATAATAGCTATCTTTCCCTAAGTGCTTATACTACAGTCATATCCTATTCTGTCTAGATCTTGTTTAATTCTCACAACAGCCCATTATATTAATAATTCTCATTATTCCTCATTACAGATGAGGTAACTGAGGCACAAAAAGGTGAAGTTAGCTTTTGTGAGGTCATCGACTGTGATTCAAACCCAGGTCTTTGGTCTCCAACTGCCTGGGTGGCTCGGTGTGCCACGCGGCAGGGGACGGGGGTGGGGCACACCTTCCTCTTGGCGATGCTGCGGAGCAGCTCAGCCTTGCTCCGGAGCAGCCCCTGGCCGGCCAGCTCCCGCTCCTCCTCCACGCGGCTCTCGCGCTCCAGCTGCTGGAACTCCAGGTCCTCAAACAGCTTTGTCTCTGTCTCCAGGGCCTCTGCCTCCTTCAACAACAGTGACAAAGGGGGTTGGGTGGTGCTAGCAATGCCACTGTGGGCCTGGAAGGCCAGGCCACAGGGGCATGAGCTGTGGGGGGCTGGGCCCGAGGAAACTGGGGAAGAAACCTGCCCCCACCCAACTTCCTCTGCTCTGTTTGGCCTTGCCCCGTTCACGGGCATCACAGCCTGGAGCGCCTGTTCCCCCCAACCTTCCCTGTCCCCTCCAAGCCACAGCACCGACCCTGGTGTCCGGCAGGTACTGCAGGGGCCAGGTGGTCCCGTCCCACCGCTCTCCTCTCTTCTTTCTGGGCGGGAGGCCCGCGGGGGCCGGGGGTGGGGGGGCTGGTGGAACTGACCCTTCTCAGCTGCTCCTGTAACTGTTCCCGCACTGACTCGGGGCAGTTATCGAGCTGCGTCTGGAGCTCGGCGTAGAGCGCCTGGCGGGCCTCCAGGTGCCTCCGTCCCGCGGCCAGCTCCGCCCTCTCCTGGTAGGCGGCAGGGCGGGGGAGGGGGCGGGCACAGGGGAGAGAGAACACACACTCCTCAACTCCGGCCCGCGGCGGCGGCAGGGGGCGCGGCGGCCAGGGCGGGTGAGAGACAAGGGGGTCGGGAACCGGGTGGGGACAAGAGGAAGAAAGACGAGGAAGCACAGAGGAGGACGCCCAGGAGAGGAGAAAGAACAGAGTCGAAAGGGAAAGTGAGGAGGGAAAGAGGTGAGGAGGGAGAAGGCCAGGCCAGGAGCTGAGAGCTAAGACAGGACTCAGGTGCAGGGCACCGGGTAACACAGGCAGAGGTGTCGGGGCGGGGCAGGGCAGAGATTTTGGTCTCTCGCAGTCCCTTGAACTAGGTCCTAAGACAAGGCCCTGTTTTCTCTCCAAACCAGTCAAGGCCAAAGCTGGTTCCGCATCACAAAATCAGAGCCTTGAGCTCCCATTCCTCTCCTTTTACCACCGCTCAGAGACCAAAATTTAACCCTGGGGAAAAGGGCAGTGATGGTGAGGGTTAAATCCAGTGGCTGGTGTGAATCAGGAGCCAGGGATGTTAGAGCCACAGCGATGCAGCCAAGGGAACCCCAGCCCACCCCCCTGGGCCTCCCTCCCCTCTGCCCGGTGTGGGGGTGGGGGTGAGGGGGGGTGCGGGCACTGCAGGCTGAACTTCAGTAGGGATGAGGGTTGCAATTAGTTCAGCCCGTTGCCATGGTAATAGGAGCCCTAGGAGTGGGTACAGAGAGGAGGTGGATGGTTCTGTCTGGGGCGAGATGACACCTCTGAGGGCGGGAAGGGGGACGAGGGAAGGAGTTGGTGAGTCACCCCTCCCAAGGACAGGCAGAGGAGAAACTGTAATTACTGATTCCAAAGCCAGAGCTGGGCCATGGGCTGGGGGCTGGGAAGGGAAGCCCAGTGAATCTTCCCCACCACTGCCATCACTACCACCATCACTACCACCTCAAATAACTTGTCTCTTCTCTTCAAAGAGAAGGTGAAGTCTGGGTCTCCGGGCAGTCCCAGGTCAATGGGAATTGAGGTTAGGCATGTTTCTTCTAAAGTGCTGAGCTTCACCCCTGGGAGTAAGCCCCTATGCTGAAGGACCCCCCACACACACAACCCCACCCTTCTACCCCACACCCCTACCCATCCCCAGAGAGGAGGACCTGATCATGCCAGTTCCTGCGGTCCAGGTACTTCCTCATCCTTGGAGTCAGCCTTTAAAGCACCCTGTGTTCTGGGTGGCTCAGGGATGGAAGGAGTGGGGGCCACCCATTCCCACCCTCTAATTGGGATATTGAATTTGGGAAGTTCCAGGGAAAAGGTGGGAAGGGTGTTGTGTTGGCAAAGAGGCCCTGTGCAAGTCCTCCAAGGCCATGCCCACAACTGAGCCTCCTTACCCCTTGGCTCCAGAGGACAGGCATTGGGATGGGTGGAAGACAGCTTCCCCCTGCTGTGCAGGAAGCTGCCCAGAGGCTTCCTTGGGTCATCTCATACTCTCCTTGGGCAGCAGCCTAAGGCAGCAGCCCAGGCATTTCCAATGGGAGGGGCTCTTCAGGCTGAGCAGCGCCACAGCCAAGCATTTTTCCCACCCTTATATCCCTCCTGCCAATGCCCCATTGAGTAAAGTTGAGTTCTGCCCTCCTGCCAAGTCCCTTCTGATCAAAACCTTGGGGTCCCACACCAAGAAAAGAAGGAGGCAGCATTAGAGGGGAGAGGCCAGGGGCACAGAGGCACCCATAGAGTTAGTGCAAAAGCGGGCACGGCTCAGCCCTGCCTGGGTGGCACTGACAGTTAGGGGCATGCAGAGAGCCCAGGACATTAATTAGAGGGGGCGTTAGTGCAGGCCTGGTTGGCAAGCATGGAGTTAATTTGGCACAGAATTTGGGAGTGTGGTTTTAGGGGCCAGAGCCAAAGCTCCAAAAAAGGGAAAAAAATGGGTCAAAGAATTTTTAAAATCCTCAAAATCGAGGACAGGAGGAAGATACTCTCAAAAAATCCAGAAGGAAAAATAAATTCTTGGAAAAATTCTGTCAAATCCAGTAAGAGATGGCCCCTCTCCACTTCAGAGCTTTTGGCACGTTGTTGGGCATCTTGGGCGTGGCTGGCACGACCCCTGTGGGATGGAGTGGCCCCTGCAGGCTGGCACGAAATCTGAAAGGGGCAGGGGCAGGAGCTGGGACCATCTGGGATAAGAGGCTGCAGATCCTGAAGGCTCAGGGCAAGCAGAGGCCCGAGGGCCATCTCCTAAAGACCACAACCTAAGCACCTGAGGCATGCATGGAGGGACATGTTCTCCAGATGGGGGGCCCAAACCTGAATCGCTCCCCGGCATCAGCCCCTCGGGCTTGCTCACTGCCCAAGATGGGCCTTTGGCACTTCCTAGGAGGGCCATGAAGGGCCCGGAATGGCAATAACCCAGGCACCCATAGGTAGCACAGAGACCCAGACAGAGGAGACCCTAGACACCAGCCCAGTCCCTGGCAGTGCCCTCCAAGCTGGTACCTTCCTCAGAGGACAAGGACCCTGTCTTGAAGGGCCACAGAGACCATGTGGTCCGCAAGATGCATGAAGACTTGAGGGGTACAGGGCCCCAGAGAAGACAGTTCTTCTTCTCTCCCAGGCCACTGATACCCAGCACTGGGCTGGGCCAGGTGTGGGTTACCTTGTCCCTCTCCTTCTGGATGCCCATCTCCAAGGCCACCAGCTTCTCCTGCAGCTGGTCCACTGCCTTCTGCTCCTTCTGCAGCAGTGCTCGCTCTGCCTCCCTCTCCCCCTGCAGCAGTGCCCGCTCCATTTCAGCCTGAGGGCAGATACCGGGGTCCCCATCAAGGCAGCTAGACTCAGGCCCCTCCCTGGGGCCTTCACACAGCCTAGGTGTCCACCCCACACCCTCATGGCCCTCACAGCTCACCTCTCGGGCCGACTCCTGCAGCTGCTGCTCTAGCTCCTTCACACGGACCTTGAGCTGCTCCACGCGCCCCAGCACCTGAGCCCGCTCCTCCTCCAGGGCTAGCACCTCTCCCTGGAGCTTGGAGCTAGGTGCATCTTCATGCTGGAGGGAGGGAAGCCATTAGCCTTGGAAGCCCAGAGCCTTCTAGGATCAGACTACAAGAATGGATCACCTACTCCTCAGGGTACTTGAAAGGGGTAGCTGGACTAGGACAGGAGGCTAATTCCCCTCCCTGCAAGGGGAACAAACAGTAAGGGCTAGGCTAAAGGGAATATTTTCCCCTGAGTGCCAGACCTGGGTGGGGCTCCAAGGAAAGGCAGGTCATAAAGCATATTTATAGCTTGGGAAACTCACTGACACCTCCTTTCCCTTCCTTGCCTCCTCACTTTTACACCTCTGATCTTCAATATCTTCCTAAACTTGATCCCTCAATTACTTCTTCCTCACTGGCACTCACAAATCCCTCAATTGCTTCCTCCTCACTGGCCTTGGCATTTACAATAGCCTCCTCTGCTCCCAGCAGGTCTGACACCGGCCCCCTTGCCCTGGTCACCCCCTCCATCCCACCTCCTGCTGGGTGCTCTCAGTGCTGCTGCACTCCTCCTTGAGATTTTCTTCATCTGAGCGCTCCACACTCTCCCATAGGCGTTGGGTGGCTCCTCCAGGCTCCTCGCTGCTCTGCCCAGAGGCCCCAGTGGCCCCTGCAAGGCCTCGTGAGGGCCTCCGGCCTGCCAGTGCCAAGGCTGCAGCGGCCTCCCCAATGCTGGGCAGCTCCCCAGCCTCAGGTCCCCCGTCAGCCCGGCTATACTCGGCACACAGGTTCAGGATGGTCTCCAGGCGCTGGCGTTCCTAGGCAGGGCAGACAGGGCAGGGCATGCTGGAGAGGAGGCTAGGCCCTGGTGAGGCTAGAGCCAGGCTCAGTGTCCTGTTCAGGAGGGACAGCAAGGACACTAGGTGCTTTGGGCTCCGCTTCAAGTCAGGAGACCCCCAACCTCAAGATCTGGGGGAGGCATAGGGAAGCAGGGTACCTCAGAAGTGGGCAGGAGGAACCAGGCTGTGCCACCTGCCCACGTGGCTGGCCCCTCCCGTCTTCCTGTTTCCTTGTTTCCTTTCCCTTCTCAATCTATCACAGGATGGGGCTTCCTCATGGACACACAGGAACATACCAAACACACATGGAAACACACACTTGTGGGCAGACTAAAGACCACAATGAGACACAGATAAACTCACATGCTAATGCTGACATGGATACACACAGATCTACAGACATAAGGACACACTGACACATAGGCACAAGGATACAACATGTATACTGGCCCTACATTAACAGGCAGGCACAAAAGCACCAGCCCTGACATGCACAAATGCACACTGCTGCACACTCACACAGATAAACACAGTCTAGCATACAGACAGGTGGGCACCTACACAGACAGGCTGGAAAATAGACCCGTGGGCCCACAGGGCCCTGACACCCAGCCACAGACATACGGGGAGTAGAGGCAGACCTGGGACATGGTCCTCCTTGTCCCCAGCTCAGCTCCAAGTCACCCCCAAGCAGCCCTTGGCCCCAGGGTGGGCTGCTGCCAGTCCTTGAATGGCCAGGCCCAGGTGTGAGTGCTCCATGGCCCTGCCACTTAATCAGCCCCCTCCCCGCACACACCCCGACCCTGACACAGTCACCTCTCAGGGGCCTAGGAGGGATGGTACAATCACATTACCAGTCTTTGTCCCCCTCTCCCATTCATAACACCCAACCCTGGCGCCCAGGCCATGGGCTCCCAAAGCTCTCTAGTGTCCCCCCTTCCTCCTTAGGTGTCTCTCGCCACCTAGGGTTTATCCATAATGCCTCCACTTACCTGGCTTCCCTCCTGCTGCTTGCCCAGTTCCATGCAAAAAAAAAAAAAAAACCAGGAACAGAGCCTCTGTACCCAGGAGGCTGGGCCAGTGCCCCGCCCCTGCCCCAGGACCCAGATAAGCGGCCTGGTTGAGGTGGGAGGGGCAGGGCGGCAGCCTCCCAGACTTAAAGTGGCAGGTGGGGCAGGTCAGGGCTGGTGGAGAGATGTATGTTGCACGTGGGGACAGGGTGGGGAGGCTGATGGAGGAGCTGGGGAGGCTGGGCCCACCACTCGGCCTGTGCCAGGCTCACTGCCCCCTCTCCAGGATGAGACCCCAGGAGGCCAAACTTTCTCTTCAAGGCCGAGGCAAAAACGGTAAAGAAAGGATACAGCGAAGGAAAAGACTGGGGATCCTGCCTCATCTCTCCCCACCTAACACATTGTCCCACACCCTCACCCAAAACTCTCCCAACTTCTTCTGAAAGGGTTCCAGACAAACCTCAGTTCTGGTTCTCCTCCTCAAGCCAATCCCAGGGTTCCTGGGCCCTCCCCTACCAAGAACCCTGTTCTTCTGTTCACAAGGGAGAGGGCAGAATCCATTCTCCTGTATGTGGGCTCGTGTGTGTACACAGCAGCCAGAGTCCCTTAAGCTCCCTGCACTATCTGGGAAATCCCAGCCCCCACCCAGCTCAGATGCCATCTCCAGGACAGCTGCCCAGAGCCACACCCAGCCCCTGCATGCACCCACACACATGCACACAGACACACACAATCACAGTCACACAGGCCAGCCTGGGGTCAGGCCAGGGGCTGCCCACCCTGTTCTCTCCCTTTTCCCTGCCACCCACACTCCCAGATGATCCTTTCTGGGACAGGGGGAGCAGCTCCCACCCATTTGTAGAGGCCAAAGAGAAGCAAAAAGAGAAGGACCAGGGGCCTTTCTAAAGGACAAGTCTCAGAGTCAAAAAGGTAAGAGATCTGGGTTCCAATTCCAGCTTTGCCAGAACTTGCAGTGTGACTTTGGGCAAACCCATTCCCCTCTGACCTTCCCAACATCACGACCTGCTTCTCAAACTGAGAGGTGCAAGGTCTCACCATAAATGTGGTATGTTTTCCTAGAGCTTTGCTGTGCTCAGGTAAATAACATGAAACTTAATTTATATATTAAAACAAGTGCTATGTTGCAGAACAAATGCAAAATTAGCATGAATTTAAAATAAAGCCTGAGATTTCAAAGGAAGTTTTCCATCAGGGCACCAGAACCATGAGATACTGGTCACTAAGGTGTATCCTGGAGGCAGGAAAGCTTGAGAAGCCCAGGCCCTGTCCAAGGGCCTCTCCTGCTCTGCCAGCTGGCCTGCCTGAGCCTGGCAGAGACCCTGCCATGGATGGTGGCAGCCTCCCTGCCATTCGCTCACCAGCCTCTCCATCTCCTGCTCCCGGAGTCGCTCTTGGCGCTGCCGCCGGTGATACTCCAGGAGGTCGTCCTCATTGTCACTGATCTCTGTGATGCTATTTTTCCGCTCCCGCGTGATGGGCACCCGCAAGTCCCCACTGGAGAGCTTTCTCTGGGCACAGGGGCTCTGGCGTGGCGAAGCCCCCGTGAGAGAGCCCAGACTGTAGGCTGGGCTCAGCCTGCCACTGAAGCTGCCCTTACGGGGGGCCAGGGACTCCCCCAGTGTGGGCGAGGGGCTCCGTGTCCTACGGCCCCGCGCCCCCAGCGTCAGGGAGAAGTCCTCTGGTGAAGCCCCATGGGCTGCCCAGCGCCGAGGCCGAGGACTCTCTGCCACTTCCCTGGTTAGCTTGGGATCTGGGGCGGTCCGGGTAGGCAGAGGGGAGAGAGCTCGTCGGGACAGAGATGGGCTCAAGGGAGGGAGTTCTCGCATACTATCCAGGCCCCGGCGACCCATGCGGGGACTCTCAGGAGGCTGCAAGGTGCGGGTGGCTAACCCATCTGAAAATGTTCGGCCCACCAGCTGGCGTGAAGGGCTGGTTGTCAGCACCCGCTCAGTGCCTGGAGGCTCACGGAAAGGGCTGGGAGGGCGGTCCTGGAGTGTCCCAATCTTATTGCGGGGAGCAGGGACTGGAGGCTGGAACTTAGGGCTGCCAGGAATGCAGGTGGGTTGGCTGCGAGCACTGGAAGCTGGGTATTCACTCAGGCTGATAGCCACCACGGGCAGCTGCCCACCCAGCCGGGGACTCTCAGTGGCTCTGCGGGCCTCTGCCAAGACAGTAGCTGCAGGGCTGTCTGTCAGCAGACCTCGGAGGCCAGGGCTTGGAGGCCTCTCATGACCCCCTTTCCTGCCCAGCCGAGGGCTCTCAGAGGAGCGGGTACTGCTCGGGTGGGACTGTGGGGGTTGCAGGGCCAGATGGTAGCTGGATGAACGGGCAGGCACAAGCGGGGGCACAGAAGGTCCTGGCTCCTGCCCGCTGGGTGAGTGACTGGCACAGCTTCCACTGCTGGCTGGTGAGGAGAGTGGAGAGAAGGCTGGAGAGGTGTTCTCATAGCTGGAGCCCACAGACATGGCACCAGGGCTGATTGGTGGGGACAGCAGGTAGCGCCCACCATTAGCCATCGGCGACAGCGGAGAGGTTGCAGCAGGCTTCTTGCTAGCAGCTCCAGGCTCCTCTAGCACCAAAGAGTCCATGATCTCCTGCAGGTCCTTCTCAATAGAGCTCACCAGGGAACTGTGGCTGGCACAGGCTGAGGGTCCCCGGGTTGCAGGCTGTGGGGTGTGGTTCCCATTCACCAGACTTTCTGATTCCACTGAAGGGAAAAGCAAAAAGCCTCAGACCCTGGTCTTCAACTTTTGGGAGCTACAAATGCATAAAATAAAGGGCACTACCCCACCTCCTCCTAGCACAGTGAGGCTATAAAGGCTCTGGAGAAGACGCCAGGAGATCTGGGTTTTGGCACCATCCAGCTCTGCCACTGACCTGCTGTGCAACCCTGGCCAAGTCACTTGCCCTCAGTTTCCCCTTCCATAAAGGAAAGGAATGGACAGGGCCCTTCTGCCTCTAACATTTAATGACTCAGGACACAATTAGCAACAATGCCAGGCACTTGTAAGCCAAGTTAATGCCAATTCACCCCAAGACTAGAATCCTCCCTGCCTTGGTTTTCCCAACTTCCTAAATCTCTCCTCAGGAGGGCAGGTGGACATTACAAAAAGGAGATGGGGCCAGAAGAGCTAGCCAGAAGTTCCAGGGGCTTCTAGTCTAATAGGACATCAGGGCCTCCCAACACAGGAACTAGAGGCCCAGGGGGAAAAAAACCAAAGCCTCCAGGGCTGGCCAAGGGGTGTGTGCTGCACTACTTTCTCCAATCAGAGGCAGGGGAAGGATCTGGTGCTAATGGCTGGTTCCTGGAAGCCAGGCTGGCCAGCAACTAGGTGCAGCTCAGGTCCTCCAATTATCCCATTATGCCATGCCAACAAGCGTCTGCCTTTGTCCTGCCCCAGCCCCAGTCAACCAATCAGGAGTCCCTGGAACCACTGCCCCAAACAGCTAAGTGAGTGGCATGACAAGGCTGGGGTTCGGGCAGGGTAAAATTAACTAGGGAGTGGACTGGAAACACAGGCTTCTGAGCCCCCAGGGGACTGGAAAAAACTGGGGATAGGGGTGCAAGGGAAAGCCTTTGCAAGACTGAGTTTGGGTCCGATATTATGAGGATTGTGTGGGATACAATCAGAGGGGTTCTCATGGATATTGAGTGATCCTAGTACCATCCACCTTTCCTCAGGTCCCCAGACTATACATTTCGACCACTGATACCAACCAACTACTGTGTTTCCCCGAAAATAAGACCTAGCAGGATTTCTAAGCATTTGCACAATATAAGCCCTACCCCAAAAATAAGACCTAGTGATGGGCGTGGCTACACAGCGCATCTGCACAACCCATGCATTTCGTTGCAGAGTGGTAAAAAGGACGAGCAGCCCTTCTCATCTGCCCCATCGTGACAGCTATTATCCCAGAGCTGACCAGAAAGGTGTGGGCAGCCCCACCAACAAGGTCAGCTCCCCCTGTCAGGTCCTGGCCATCCTGTGCATGCTGCAAGCTGAGGCTTTGAGGGGAAAATAACTGATCCCCTGAAAATAAGCCCTAGGATGTCTTCTTGAGGAAAAATAAATATAAGACCCTGTCTTATTTTCGAGGAAACACAGTAGGTATACCTAACATATGTGTCCACCTGTCCCAGCACCACATTGGCATTTGTCACCTCACAGCCACCTAAATACCAATGCAAAATTCTAGGGTGGTAGAACCACTGGTGGCCTCCTGGTCTACACCCCACCCCCTAGGCAGCTGGGCTGAGGAGGCCTATGTTGGTTCCCTGGAACAATCAGCAATTCTCCTCTAGGGATCAATAATTCACACACAAACTGCAGCTGTTCCACTGAGTCATCAGTGGGCATGGCATGGCCTGAGGGCTGGGCAGCGCCCAAGGACATGATCATCATCAGGTGGAACCCACCAGAGCTTACTAGGGGGTCCAACCTAATGCTTTCTTCTGCCCCCCAGGCCACCCTCAAGAATGAGGCTCCTTGGTGGTGACATAGTGAGCTAGGTCCCAGATACTGAGTGGCATCCTCCAGGGCAGTGGGGTACAGGCTGGAAGAGCCCTCCATTCCTCAAGGTACGACTCCCCAATTTTAGCTATGCAGCACTGCCGTATATCTCTCCCAGTGGCGCCACTGCTTGGCATTCTCCACCAGCCCATGGCAGGTGGCAATGAGCCCAGACCATAGGTATTGTCCTGCCCTAACACTCCAAGTGTGGCTGAAGTGGGCAAGGAGGAGGACTATCCAATGAGTACCACCAACCCAACCCCCTGCCCAGCTGGGTACCTACCGAGGCCAGGGCCGTAGGGCGGCCCAGGTGCCCGGGCCCCTGCTGGAATCATGCTCTTCATCCACTTGGCTTCAGCCGGGTGGTTAAAGCGGAGGAAGGTGGACTGACCCAGGCACAACATGCAGCCTGTGGAGAAAGCAGTCACTTGGCAGAGCAGACAGGGCTGAAGCCACCCTCACCCCACAGCACTTGCAGGTCACCTCAGGCTCTAAAGAGTCCACCTGCACTCACAGAGTCCACACAATTCACACCTGACCCTGCCTTTGCCTGAGACAGGCACCTCCAGGGCTCCACAGCACAGGGCAGAGTGGAAAGAGCAAGTCTCAAGATCAGAGTCCTCATCCTAACTCCTCTTCTTACTAGCTGTGAGATGTTCGGATAGAGTCACTTCACCTCTGAGTCTAGTTCTCTGATCAGAAACATGGGAATAATACCACTGACCTTGCAGAGTTAGTAAGACAGTGTATGTGAAAGCACTCTGTAAATGAAGAAAGTTCTTCAGAGAACACAGACACCCATGTCCCCCACACCTCAATATGTACCCCGATCCACCTATCTGTGCTTGCACAGAAGGGTCAGTTTGAGAGGTAGCAACTTCCAGGGTCACAAAAAAAGGTCTAGTTAGGGGACTAGGGAAAAACTATGGATCAGTCAGATGACCTGGGGGGATAAGAATTTGCTTTGATTCCTTATCATTGTGTGGCCTTAACAGAGCTGCCACCCTCTCTGAGCACACAGGGCGTGGCCACCACCCTCTTTCTTTCTGACAAAGCACCCTCTAGCTGCTCTCTGGTCTCCCCTAGAACCTAGCCAAGGCTAGGCCACCGTGCCCAGCCTCAGCCAAGCACATTCCCAGGCAGCAGACACAAGCCCATGCCTGCCCTGGAAGTGCAAGTACCTGGAGTAGGGAGGGTTCATGGGAGCCAGAAAATGTAGCCAGGGGCAGCAGGAGTGTGCACAGCGGCAGGTGTGCCCACAGGCACCTAAGCCTGGCTGGCAGAACTCCACCTCCTGGCCACACCAGGTGCTCAAGGGCTCCTGCAGAAGATGCGATGTTGGGAAAAGACACAGCCCTGTTGCTCTCTACCACCTGCCCTTCCAATTTGTCCACACCCCTGGTCCCTGATCCCAGGCTCCTGTCTTCCCAATCTGGTGCCATTTGGCGCCCCAAGCTTCATGCCAGTCTGAGCTAAGACTGGCAGGGAAGTCTACATTCCTGGACGCTGAGACAGTTCAACTCAGGCAGGCCGCAAGAGCAAGGGGCATCCAAGGCCACGTGGGTACCTTGGCAGGCCCCCTACTGAGAAGCTCAGGAGCCTGCTTCTGGGACCTTGGGCATTGCCATGGGGTGGGGGTCTAGCAGGCTGAGAAGCCCATAGTAGAAAACCATAGTGGACAAAGCCACCCACTACCTTGGCACACCCACAGGCCCTCCCAGGCAAGCGGCACCAACAATTCTAAAGGCTGATGGGTGGTTGGGAGAGGGTGGAGACTTCCCTGCCAAGCCACCAATCAGAGAAGCTGATCTCAGTGTAATCATAACTGGAATAAATAATAGCGAACCACACCGTCTACCTAATTACAACCACAGCTGTTTCAGAAAGAGCCCTGTCAGGCCCCTCCCCCTCTTTTCAGTCATTTAACAGGCTAATTAATGATGAGTCCGCAGGGTCTAGACAGACCCACTCAACCCTAGGTTGATGGGGGGAAGTGTAGTGGGTGGTGGGGATAAGGAGCCTGACCACACAGTCTAAGCTAGGAAGAAGGTGAGAAGTCGGGGTGGATTCCAGCCCAGCAGCACCGGGCCCACCCAAGGAGGCTATGAACATCTAGGGACCCTCCACCTTGGCACCCATAGCTCTAAGTTCCCTGCCTCCCTCCTCAGTCCTGCACCCTCCCCCACATAGGGGGTGTGGCCATGCTGCCTCTGGGCTATAAATAGTGATGCCAGGCAGCAGTCTAGATCCATATTAATAGAGCGGGCAAGAGGGCAACAGGACTGACAGCAGCCCAGCTCCTGCCCAAATTAACTTTCTATTTGCACTCAGGGGCCCCAGCATTGCCCCAGCTCTGGCCATGGGCTTGGCAAGCCTGTTTCTGGGAAGAAGCCCCCTTTCTACCCACTCCTGCCCCACACTCCCAAAGGCCAGCCATCTCAGGAAGCCCAGGAAGGCTTGCCCATCCAACCAAAGTTGTGGTAGTGCCCCCCCATGCCCAGAGGGGCTCAGGGCCCAGCTGTGTGCAGGTGGGTGGAGAAGCTGTACACTGGAGTAGAAAAACTGGGCAACGGAGAGGGTAGATCCTATGTCTGAGAGATGCACCCATACAAACAGACCCACACACAGACTCGTGAGCATGCATGCTCACACACTCACCGAGCAATGGCCACTGTCCTCCCGGCCACGCAAACAGAATGGAATGGCCAAAGGGAGGCTGGGTGAAGGGAAGATGGAAGGAAGGGCCTTGGCCCTTCCCATCAGAGACCTCTTTTGGCCATAACACAGACTCCCTTCATCCTATCCTGGACCCTTTAACCCCATCCGAGGGAGGCGGGTCCCAAGGAGGGGACTGCCAAGCACTGGGGAGGATGAGGTGTGCACCGCTGAGAAGTGCTTTCAAGCCCGGAATCCCACTTAGAAATGTTCAGGGCACACACACAACCGAGTCTCACAGCCTCATGCTCCCAAAGAGGGGCAGAGGACCCCAACCCCATCCCCCTCCCCGTGCCCACTCTCCCCAGGACGCCCCTCCCAGCCTGAGGTTCTCCACGCCCGGCTACCCGGAGGCTGTGGCTGGCCCGGGGCTGAGGACTCACCGCTGAACCCGGACCTCCGGATTGCTTGCCCCCGCTAGCCCGGGCCCTCCAGGTTCCCGGCCCGCCTGGGGCCTTTGCCTGGGGGCGGGCTGACCTTCTGCGCCTCCGGCTCCAGGCTCCAAGCTCGGAGCGAGCAGCGAGGCAGCAAGCAGCCGCCAAAGCCCGGGGAGGGGCGGGCCGGCCACCAGTGGCGGGGGAAGGGAGCCAGGGAGGGAGGGACAAAGGAGAGGAGGAGGGGAAGAGGAAGTGATGGAGGAGAAGAGTGGAGAGCTGGATGGAGAGGGCGGGGCGGGGCGGGAGGATGCAAGGAGAGAGCCAGCGACATCCTGCGCTAGGGGCAGGAGGAAAAGTGGGGTGGGAGGAAAGGTTCAACAGGGGTGCCTTGAGAGAAGGAAAGGTGAGGGGTAAATACAGAGGCCAGAGGGTCCAGAGCAGAAGCAAGAGTGAGGAGAGCGAAGGTAGGAAGTCTGTAGCTGAGAGGCCTGGGGTCCTGGCCAGCCCTGTCCTGAGTGGCTGTATCACCATCATCCAGTCACGCCCTCTGGCCTCAGATTACCCATCCACAGAAAGAGGAGGCTGGTCTCAATGACCACTGCTGGACGTCCAGCTCTGACATTCCAGGGCTTCATATGTGAGAGACTGGAAAAGAGCAGGGACTCCACAGGATCCAGCTAGGTCACTAGGTCCACTCTGGCCCTCAGCCTGCCCCTGTGACAAGGTCACCCTGGGCTGGGAGTTCAGGCCAAAGCAGCGCTCAGTGCAATGCAATGCCCTTCTCTCCATCCTAAACAACGTCCCCACCTCCTGGTCCCACTCACCACAGTTCACCCCTTAACCCAGGCTGGACCAAGGCACTACCCCTTTCTCCATCTGAGGGGAGCCAGCCCACTTCCTGGGGCCTGGAAGTCAACCCTACCTCCCCACAGCCACAATCTCCAGTTGTGCCCCAGCAAAGGGTCCTCCACCCCAATAAGGTACCCTTCCTATCTGTGAAACACAAATGTCTGCAGCCTCAAGGGTCAGGCTGAGATTCTGAGGCAGGCAGGTACCCATCACCCAGCCAGGTCCCCTAGAAAATTCCTCTTGCTCCAGAGACCTGGCCCCTGGACACCAGAACCTTAAGGGACATACTGCATGTGCTCAGCAGCTAACAGGGCCTTACACACTGTCTCTCAGATACACACCAACCCTTGCTAAGTCACACTGACAGCTATGCACACTCTGAGTCACACAAACAGCTGCATTAAACACATTCTTTGATGTCCTGGTGTGGTGTGGTGGCTCACACCTATAATCCCAGCACTTTGGGAGGCCAAGATGGGAGGCTTGCTTGAGGCCAGGAGTTCAAGACCAGTGTAGGCAACATAGCAAGATCCTGTCTCTACGAAACAAATTTTTTTTTTAATTAGCCAGGCCTAGTGGCATGCACCTGTAGTCCCAGCTACGCAGGAGGTTGAGACAGGCAGATTGCTTCAGCCCAGGAGTTCAAGGCTAAAGTAAGCTATGATCATACTACTGCACTCCAGCCTGGGAAGCAGAGCAAGAACTCATCTCTAAAAAAAAAAAAAAGAAAAGAAAAATTGGCCAGGCTCAGTGGTTCATGCCTGTAATCCTAGAACTCTGGGAGGCCTAGGCAGGAGGATTGCTTGAGCAATCCTCAGGAGTTCAAGACCAGCCTGAGCAAGAGTGAGACCTCATTTCTACTAAAAATAGAAAAAATTAGCCATGCATAGTGGCAAGTGCCTGTAATCCCAGCGACTCAGGAGGCTGAGGCAGGAGGATCCTTTGAGTCCAGGAGTTTGAGGTTGCTGTGAGCTAGGCTGACGCCACAGCACTCTAGCCAGGGCAACAGAGTGAGACTCTATCACAAAAAAATAAACAAATAATAAACACACACATATACACATGCTCTGTCTCTCACACACTTTTATTCTCATGGTCACATTACCCTAGGCACCAACCCCGCCTCTTAGTGACACTCTCACTCTGGCATAGCTATCCTTTCACTCAGTCCTTGGAGAGACTCCGAAATAAAAAGCCAACCTCCTTAGAGAAATAATCAGGCAAATTTTCCGCCCTTGCTGAACAGCCCACTACCCCACTTAAGCACACTGTCAACTGTAGGCACACACATCCACACACTCACATGTGCACACACATATTATTCCTCTTCTGAAGGAAAAAGGAAGAACCATATAGGGTCAAATGCAAAATGAGGGGAGGCTTAAAAAAAAATTTCAGGAAGAGTGATTCATCGGTCTGGAAACTGTGATGGCCAGCTGGACAGACCCAGGCATACACAGAGGATGCCCGCCAGTGAGAAATAGGGCAGGAGGCGGACACAAAGAAGTGGGAAGCTAGGAGCCTTCCCTCTGCTGTCCTTCCTTGGAGCCTTGTAAGTTAAGATCTTTATCAGTCTTATAACAGAGAAAAGTTGGAGGCTCTGCTCCGGATTAACAGAAGGAATAACTGGGTGGGAGAGGAAGTGGCTCAATGTCCTGGATCCCAGAAAGAGAAGGTTGGATAACCCAGAAATCCTGGCTCCCCACCCACTCCTCTGCTGTCCCTCACACAAGCCCCTACCCATCAGTGAGGGGCTTAGAGAATGAAGGAGACTTGGAGACTAGGGCTGGCAGCAAATGCTAGGAGTAGATGGGGACCTACTGTCTAGACAGCCTGGGCCCTGAGCTGTGTGGCTTTCTGGGTCCTCCCCCACTTAGTCCCCTCCCAGATCTTTCATGTGGTCTGGCACTATGGTCCCAGGGTGGGGCAGCCTAGACTTAGATTGAGATTCCTCCTCATTTCCTTAGTTCTATTCCCAGCTCCACCCCTTGCTCTGTGGAGAAGAGGGCAGCGTGGGACGTGCCAGGATGCCTGGGTACAAGGGGTGGAATCAGGATCTTCTTAGCTCCCTCAATTCATGCTCCCATGTTCATAGCTCTGTGCTAAAGGTTGGCATCTGCTTTCTGCCCGCCTCCCCCCTTCCCTGGCCAAGGCATATTCCTGCTGGAAGAGCCTGTCACTGCCATCTCTGCTTGTCATGAAGTGTGTCTCTCCAAGTTGCCTATGGCTGGGCACAGTGCCCAGAATGATGCATCTAGGGGCTGGCCCAGCCAGAGCAGGCTCCTTGTTATTCCCAGGGTAGCCTTCTGTTTTTCAAAGAGGAGGGTTCCCTCTACAAGGCCAGATTAGGGAAACAAGACAGAAAAAACAATCCTCTTGTACATATGCCCACAGATAGGCATATGGCCAATGAATTCTTGTATACACACACAGACATTTTGGTACCATCAGTCCTGAGTTCACCCCTGCCGCCCACTTGAACACACTGAGCCATAAACACAGGAGAGACACAAACACAGAGATACACAAGCCCAGAGTCACAAACACATCCGGAGATACATAAACACACTCCAGTTATACAGACACACAGAGATAGCACATGCACCCCCCGAGCCACCCAGTTTCCAAGGAAACGCACTCCCAAGAATGTCCGGAGTGGGGCCAGGCAGGGCTGGGCTTGGTGCCTTGCTCCAGAGATGAGACAAGGAAACCCTCAGCTCCTGGAGCCCAGGGGAGGGAGAGGACGGGGAGAAGAACACCCATTCCTTTGTGCCTCTGCCTACCCCTCCACAGGCTGCCAAGCTTCTGAGACAGGCCAGCCCAGACAAGAAGGCTATGGGGAAGAGGGAGAAAAAGGGACGGGGCTTAGGGTCAGAAGAGAGTAGGAGGGTACATACTTGGCAGGGTGGGCTTCTGGCTGGTAAGGGGAGGGTCACTGGGGCCACAGAAAATGCTTCAGAATTCCATCCTGGCCCCAGGCACTCCCTCTTTTCAGGGAGTTAAATAATGCACTGGGCAGACTGGACAGAGAGGCACATGGAACATGGGTTCCTCCACCCTGCTCCCAACTCAGGGTGACAATGAACATTCTTGCCTGTGAATGTGATGGATTCCTGGCTGAGGTGGGGAGGGCTGGGCCTTCTTTGAACTTTGCCCTGCCTCTCCTTGCTGCTCTATTGTCTCACCTCCATGCTCCCAAATTTTGGAGAAGACGCTCTCTCAGTGACTGAACAGAATTGTCAGGAACCAGATGCCATCACAGCCAAAGCCCCAATTTATGGGGGTTTCCCCTCTCATACCACACCAGAGACCTTGAAGCCTGGAGAAGGCAAGGGCCTACCTGCTGCTGCTGGTGGACCTGCCTCCCTGAAGTCAGCTGTCCATGCCCTGCCCACCCCCAAAGGCAGGAAGAACAGAGTGGGGCAAGGTCAGGTCTCCGGGGTCCGCCGTGAAGGGAGTGGCATTGAAAGGCCCCAAGGGGTGTGAAGAGCAGAGAGGGAGACAGTGGAGTGAGTGGAATTTCCACTGCACAGGGGCTTTTAGCCTGTAAGAGGCCCCAGAAAGCAATGCCAACAAGTCCTCCTGCTCAGAGCCAGGCTTAGCCCAAAGCTCCCATCCTCCTGTTAACCTCACTTCTAACCTCCATCCAAATCTTTTTTCATTCCCCTGAGTTGATGATTCACTGGATGAATTGAGGCCCAGAGCCCTCTTTCCAGAGTGAACACACCTGATCTGTCAAAGTGCCACCTGGGCCAACCCCTTACCTGCCTAGTAACTACACTAATTAGGAGCTCAGTTCTTAGAGCTACCTTACCCAACAGAATGGTCCATTCATGACCCAAAAGCTGTCAACAATCTTGAGGGTTTTTTGTTTGTTTGTTTTGTTTTGTTGAGACAGTCTTGCTCTGTTGCTCCAGCTAGAATGCAGTGGCATCATCATAGTTCACTGCAAACTCAAACTCCTGGGCACAAGTGACCCTCCTGCCTCAGTCTCCCAGAGTAACTGGGACTACAGGTGTGTACCCCAATGCCCAGATAATTTTTCTATTTTTTTTTTTTTTGAGACAGAGTCTCGCTTTGTTGCCCAGGCTAGAGAGAGTGCCGTGGCATCAGCCTAGCTCACAGCAACCTCAAACTCCTGGGCTCAAGCGATCCTATTGCCTCAGCCTCCAGAGTAGCTGGGACTACAGGCATGCACCACCATGCTAGGCTAATTTTTTCTATATATATATATATTAGTTGGCCAATTAATTTCTTTCTATTTATAGTAGAGACAGGGGTCTTGCTCTTGTTCAGGATGGTTTCGAACTCCTGACCTTGAGCAATCCGGCCGCCTTGCCCTCCCAGAGTGCTAGGATTACAGACGTGAGCCACCTCGCCCGGCCAATTTTTCTATTTTTAATAGTGATGGGGTCTTGCTCTTGCTCAGGCTGGTCTCGAACTCCTGAGCTTAAGCAATCCTCCCGCCTTGGCCTCCCAGAGTGCCAGGATTATAGGCATGAGCCACCCGCCCAGCCTGTCAACAATCTTGTGACAGGAGAGGGCATGTCCTCAGATTTTGCCCTTGCCCCATCCCTATCAGGAGGTATTGTCCTCCTCTCCAGCTTCTCAAAACAACTCCCTCTTGGCATTGTTTCACAGTGCCACAGTGCTGTTTCATAGCAGTGATAGCCTCTCACTGCTACTGCATTGCTCTTCCCCGAAGCTGCTAACAACCACACCACACCCCAGGAACCTCTCCCCATGGTGTGTGGAGGCAGGTTGAGAGTGACCAGAGAGAAAAGCAAGTTGAAGACAAGTGTGGATGCTGGGGGGTTTGGATTGTTGTTTAGGCATATCCAAATACACCTAAGCACCCCATCCCCAGTACAGGCCACTCAGGCAATTACCATGGCAACCACCATGTAGGCTTCCCCTACACCTAACATGCACAGGCTTTTAAACACAGGCACTCTTTGTTTGAGGGTATCGAACCTTACCCTGAGTGAGCCGTGTGGGCTGCCGGACGGGGAGCCCATCAATAGTGCAGGCATTGCCACAAGGGTAGAGGGTGAGGGTGCCCCGCAGGTTCTCGATGTAGCAGTGCTCTGGAGCCAGGCCTGGCCCCTGCAGTGAGATGTCTCTGGCTGCAGAGCCAATCATCGTCCTCCCTGGAGACAGGAGGCAAACCGAGTCAGAGGGGTTGTCCAGGCTGAGGAGGCAGAGACAGGGCAAGGAGGGCCACAGTGGAAATATATTTCTACCTCCTACTCCTGGAAGAATCTCTGCCTACCACTGGCCACCCCTATTGGGCCCCTGAGCCTGGTTGAGACGGTAACTGATAGAAGCTCTTCTGGAGCAAGGAACACTCTGGCTGAGAATGGGAAGGCCCAGACTCCACACATAGAGTAGAGAGGGGGCCTCTTTTCTTTTTTTTTTTTGAGACAGAGTCTCACTGTGTTGCCCCGGCTATATGCCGTGGTGTCAGCCTAGCTCACAGCAACCTCAATCAAACTCCTGGGCTCAAGCGATCCTTCTGCCTCAGCCTCCCAAGTAGCTGGGACTAACAGGCATGTGCCACCATGCCCAGCTAATTTTTTCTATTTTTGGTAGAGACGGGGTTTGCTCTTGCTCAGGATGGTCTTGAACTCCTGAGTGGACGATCCAGCCTCCTTGGCCTCCCAGAGTGCTAGGATTACAGGCATGAGCAACCACGTCCACCAAGGGGCCTCTTTTCTGCAGACCTTCTCTTAGTCCCCCCAACTGCCTCTCCCTATGTCCTTTTTTCTTGTTCCCCTTCATCCTACACACTCCTCTTTTTTTCTAAAACTCTCTCTCTCTCCTTCTTCTCTCCCTCCCTTCTGCCACCTGCACCTCTCCCCTCCCTCACTCTCCCTTTCTCTTCAGTGCAGCTTCTCCCCCAACTGCTTTGCAGAAACAGCCCCTCCCCCCCTGGCAGAGCCCCTGAGACTGGTATTTGGAGAATGTGGGGAATGCTGTATCACCCAGGCAACAAGTGCAGCCAGGAGAGGAGAGAGGGAGGACAGAAGCTGAAAGGTGAAGGAGGCCATGCCAGGGCCTTATCTTGCCCCCACTCCTATCTCTCCCTTCTCCACCTACCCTAGGGTGTAGTCTCCCAAGCCAGGCATTGCCCTGGGCCCCCTTTCTTCTTGGCCACACTGGTTGCTAAGAGCAGTGTGCTCTCCTGTTTCTCTCAGTGCTTTCCTCCTTGTTTCAAAACTGATCTTTAATCACGGTCAGGCTATCTACCAAAGATGGCAGGCAGTCTCGCAGGCAGTCTCGGGGAAGCAGAGACAAGAGAAGCAAGCCTGGTGGGATGGGGAGGTGGGAGGTGAGCATTGCCAGCAGGCAGCAGAAGGGCCCCAACACATGCAAGAGCTGGGCCTCCAGGGCAGGAATGCCTGTAAGGATGGAGGGGTGGCAGGTGGGATGCACTGACCACTCTTACCTTCCTCCAGCGGCAGCAGAGTGATGGCAGTGCTGAGTCGCCCACTGCCCAGGCTCACCAGATGGGGTTTGTCCGTTTGCACTTTCAGCCCTTTGCCTGTCTCGATCAAGTCCAAGGGTCCTTTCTGCAGGTAGTGGGGGTGGAGGAGGAGCATCATTAGAGACTCCAAGCCAGCACTTTAGCACCCTAGTCCCAGTCCCACCAGCACTCTCTCCAGCCCTTGCCCTTCTCCAAAGGGCTCTGAGAGTGCTGAAAGGCTTAGCACAAAATCTCACACAGAGCATTATTGCACTAAATTGTAATTAGATCTGAATCTAGGCCACTAACTCTTCCCAGTGGATTTATCTCTAGTCTTGGCTTAACTGCCCCTTTTGTCTATTAAAGCAGAAATAAGGAGATGGGGTGGAGGGTAGCGTTAGGTAAGCAGGAGGGGTACTGTAGAAGAGGGCCAATCGAGCTCCCTGCAGACTTGTCCATGGCTATTCACTTGGCCATTGCTTGCCACTCTACACTAAATTACAAGAGAGGGATGAGGCATGAATCAAAGGGAGTGATATTGCCCAGGGTTAATCTGTAAACTGCTTTCTGACTTTCAAAGGGTAGTTTCTGGGTGAACCAATTAACCTGATTCAGATAAAGACCGAGCTGTTAATAGGCTTGGGACCTGGGGAAGGGCAGAGAGGAACAGAACTGCTACTCTCATCCTTGGCTGGGACCACAAGAGGGTAGAAGGGCTGAACCCATCCTTATCAACAGCCCTCTTTCCTCACAGCCCTGACCCCACTCACCTGCACCATGGCCTGAGTCTTGCATCCAGGTCCTACCTGGTTCCTATTGAGAGTATCCATGGTGCTAGGGCTCCAGCGCACCTGGGGACACAGCAGAAAGCAGGTGAGGTAGGGAGACCAGGGCAGAAGAGGAAAAGAAGTAGGCTCTGTGGCAGGGTTCTCAGGGCAGGGGCTACACCAGCCACCATCATTCCCAGCATGCTCATGCCGAAGGAAAAGTGCAGGCAGCTAAAGAGCTTGGGCAGGGGCTGGGGAGGTGGTGCCAGGTCTCCAGCCACAGTATGGATACCACACCATATCAGTCCTGGCCCTTGCCACCATAAGCACAAACTGCCCTATGGGCCCAACCTGTACTTCTGTGCTTTCTTGCCCTGTGCTCCCCAGAACCTAGGTCTTGGCAGCTGAAGACCCTTAGCCATCTAGAGCCTTAAGCAGGGTGGGGAAAATCTACCTTAGTGGGAGAAGCAGAATCCAGGGAAGAAGCCCTTCCAAGGACACTGATAGATGGAGGGCCCCCAGGCAGGTGGCAGGGGCTCCCTCCCAATCGTTTTCTTTTCCTCTTCTCCCTTTGTCTCTTTTTCCAGGGGTCTTATAAGGTAGGATGTTTTCTTAAAGGAGACACAGAGGAAAAACTCAGCCATTCCTAGCATCTCCATATGTCTCAACCCGTATACCTTTTCTTCCCCAGAAAGCAACCTCACCCCAACAAGATGAGATAAAAACAACTCAGTGGTAACTAATACCGGGAATATTGGGTTCTTAACTCTTGAGTTCCTAACTGGCTTGGTGCTGGAGGAAGCTTAGGCCCTTAGAACAAGGGTAAGATAGATTCCAGAGCCAGAATTTAAATTCCCCTACCCCCCACTCCACTACCCATCCCTTTCTCCCTGGCTCATGTTTTTGATACCTGAGAAATGGTATCTGAGGAAGGATGTTTGTGTACTAATGTGTGCCCACATGCCCAAGCCTTGGCCATCTTCTAAGGTGAGAAACTTCCCATTTGCTGCGGAAATGTTACTCAGCAAGGCTGAGAAGAGTATGGCTAAGAGGCAAGGAAGCAGACCCAGGAAAGCAGGGTTTCCCTCCACTTTCTCTTCCAGCCATTTACCAGATGACCTGGAAAGGAAGTGGGGGCAGGTGCCAGTATTCCAAGGAGTGTCTGACTCTGGCAGTGGGTCCCAAGGGCTTCAGCCATGCAGTTACTAAATTTACACTCCCAGCTTCCACCCTTCCGGACCTGAACTGCATCATCTCCGTCACCATTTCCACCCAAGCTGGCGGAAGAGAGGCCGGAACACAGCCTGGGGCCCACCCCAAGACTGCTTGGGAAGAGCGGAGGAACGGACCATTAACCTATACCAAGTCCCCAGCTGGCCTGGCACCTCCCCAGGAGTCCTGGCCATGGGGAAGAATTTCCAGGGACAAAGATTGCTATACTGTTTCCTTAGACCCAGGGAAATCCTTCAGCATTTTCTGAGGGAAGAAAGGCAAGAGAGTGGATTGGGAAAGGGGAGTTTATGTAAAAAAGAGGTTAAGAAAAATAAAAAAATAATGGTGAAGGAAAAGCATCATCCATTAGTGGAAAGAGCTTTAGACTGGGATGCAAAAGTCTTAAATTCTACCCTGACTATATTATTTATTAGCTGTAAGATCTTTGACAAGTCATTTAACTTCTCTGATTGTCAAGTCATTCTTCTATAAAACTGGAATAATGATTAAAAAAAAGAAAGACTAGATCAGTGCTTGCCTGGGGCTAAGTATGGACTGAGCAGTGATTGTAAATGGGCACAAAATATTTTTGGGAGGGATGGATAGAATTGTTCTAAAATTAAATTGTAAGGATGGTTGCACAGCTTTGTAAATATACTAAATATCATTGAATTGTACACAAATTGGGCTGGTGAGTTTTATTTATTTATTTGTTTTATTTATTTATTTATTTTGAGACAGAGTCTCGCTTTGTTGCTCAGGCTAGAGTGAGTGCCATGGCATCAGCCTAGCTCACAGCAACCTCAAACTCCTGGGCTCAAACGATCCTGCTGCCTCAGCCTCCCAAGTAGCTGGGACTACAGGCATGCGCCACCATGCCTGCCTAGTTTTTTCTATATATTTTTAGTTGGCCAATTAATTTCTTTCTATTTTTAGTAGAGATGGGTCTCGCTCTTGCTCAGGCTGGTTTCCAACTCCTGAGCTCAAAGGATCCTCCTGCTTCAGCCTCCCAGAGTGCTAAGATTACAGGTGTGAGCCACCATGCCCCGCTGGGCAGGTGAGTTTTATGACATATAAATTATATCTCAATAAAGCTGTTAGTTTAAAAGAAAAAGGACAGTCTGAAGATTCAGGTATTATATTAAATGACACTCCATGAAGGCAAAACACTATAAAAATGCCAGTTATTATTATGAGCTGCTGTCTGGGCCTTAGTTTATTCATCTGTCAAATTGGAGTGTTTGTCACTATCACCGTGTGAGGCAGCTGAGGTGTGCTCATTTATTTACACCAAAGAATTTCAAGTGGAGATAAGATTATAAAGGAGTAAGGTTGATGGGGGAACAAGAGCGATAAGAGGAGAGGAGAGAAGGGAATAAGGAGGTGAAAGGACACGAAGAGATAAGGAGAGAGGTGTAGGAAGAAGATAAGAAAAGATGTAGAGATTGGGAGACGCGAGGCTGTGGCCCCAGCTTGGAAACCTAATCCAGGTGAAGTGGAAAGAGACACCAGACCAAACTGTCAAGCACTCAGGCGGTGCTTGGACAAGGGGTCTCGCCACGGCCCGGAAAGCCGCCACCTGGGGGCGCCATCTCCTCGACCCCCAACCCTGGCCTGCCCAAAGGACGCCCCCAACTGGCTGGCCCGCTTCCGTCCCACCCGGCTGCTGCCCACTACGCTGGGGCTGTAATTATCCACCCGGCCGCCCAGCCTCGGCCCGGCGCCCTTTCTGGGAAACCCTGCCCGCCCCGCGGCCAAAACAAGGCCCTCGTGGGCCGAGTCGGGCCTCTAGTGAGGAAGCCGGGCGGTCAGCCTGGCCCTCGGGAGCCCTCCCGCACCCAGGGTACAGACGCCCCAGCGCCGCCTCGGGAGCACGACGACCGGGCCCGGGCTCCGGGATTTGGCGAGTTACTGGCAGGGCCCTGTGTGCTGGCGCCGCTGCAGGTGACCCCGGCCCGGCCGCTCTGGCCTCCTCCTCAGCAGGAGCGCGCCGGCACCCGGCCACGCGGGACACCGTCCGCAACCCTCCACCCAGTGCGGAGCCCAGTGTCACCCCTTGGGGGTCTCAGCACCCGCACGAAGGTGGAGGGAGGCCAGAGGAAGGTCCGGGCTCCCAGCGGGGACCAAGATGGAAGGTCCAAAGCCAGCCCCCGACCAAAGGCCAGGCCCTCCGCGGGCCTCTGCTCAGGTGCTCCCCAGGGCCCTGTGGGGCGCTCAGGCCCGCACTTGTGTCCCTAGGGGCCAGCCGAGGCCTCTCCCGGGGCGTCGCAGGGCCATGGACAGAGGGCTGCGGGGCGGAGCTGGGATCCTCTCGGCCCTCCGCCGCCTTCGCCTTCCTGGCGCACATCCGCCCTCGAGGAAGAGCCGCCCGCAGAGGAAGGAGTCGAAAGGGAAGGAAACTGAGGCTGGGAGCTCAGTGCGGGGACGCCCCAGCGCGGCAAGGGCAGAGAGAACTTAAGGATGAGGAAAGCGAGGCTGAGAGAAAGGGGGTCTGCGGAGGGACTGCGCGTGGAAAGGGGGACTCAGGAATTTGGAGGGAAAACTAAGAGGGAAACTGAAGGATAAGGACAGATGAAAGCTAGGGAGGGAAGACTGCGGAGCAGCGAGGTGGAGAGGTGGGGGTGACAGGCAGGGGAGGCGGGAAGCACCCCGAGGCACTGAGGGCAGTGGGGGGCCGAGGGGGCGGGAGCTGGGGGAGGGGGCGGAAAGGAGGGAGACTGGGGGCGGGCCGGGGCCCAGAAGTGGGGGACAGAAGAGAGGTGGGTTGCCAGAGGGCAGGGGGAGACCGGGAGGAGAGACGCGCGTGCAGTGTGGGCTGTGTCGTGTGTGGAAATGTGCGCCTCTCCCAAGTCGGCGGGGCCAGAGAGAGTTCCGCCCGGCAGGGGCGCTCACTGCCCCTGGGCCCGCTGCTCTCCGGGCCGCCCAGGTGGGACAAGGCCTCAGTGTTGGGCCGCCTGCCACAGCCGCCCGCCCGCCCCTGACGGCGGGACAAGCGGCCTTTCTTTGGCCGGGCAGGGAGAAGGAGCCGCTTGTTCGCGCGGCGGGGAGGGGGCGGCCGCACAGACGCCGCCCGCGCCGGCCCGGCAGCTGCGGGAAGGGCGGCCGCGTGGGGGCGGTGGGCGTGGGAGCGGGGCGGCGGTTTCCAGAGCGCGAGGCGTGCGGTGTGGACGGTGTGTGGAGTGGATGGCGAGGTCTGGGCGTGTCGGGGCGGCGCGATAGGGGGTGCGTGTGCGCGACGTGCTGTGGGAGGCTGCGTGGGCGGCGGGCGCTGCGCGTGTGCTGTGTGGAAGCCTGACGTGGAGGGGAGCGTGTGTCTGTGTGTGATGCTGTGCGTGGGGGTGAGCCCGCCGTCCGATGAGTCAGCCTCCGGGAGCTCCGGGACGGCTGAGCTAACGGGCCCAGAATGCAGCCCCGCCCCGGCGCCCTGGGTCCCCTGCCGGGCCGTGTGGTCGCCGGGCCAAGTCCCCACTCGGAGCCCGCCTGGGCGGAAGCGTCCGCGGGCGCCTCGGCAACCCCGCGGCCCCACCCGGCCGACAGCCCACACTTCCCCATCCCGGGGGAGCCCAGATGACTCGGCTCGGCCTCAGCTGGGGGAACTCCGCTAGGGATTCGAATCCGGACCGCGCGGGCGTGACGAGAGCCTGCGACTCTCTCTTCCAGGGTGCCCCAGTCGGCCTCCGGGACCCCTAAAGACATGGGGCCTAGGAGGGGTGCCTGGCAGGCCCCAGACGTGTTTCCCATCTCCTGGACACCCCCAGGATCCCTCCCGGACACCTGTGACCGGGAGCGGGGCTCCGCACGCATGGGCCCCTCCCTTGTCCATCAAGGCAGCTCGCCTGGGGACAGGAGCAGAGACGCCCCAGGGCATTCCCCTCCCTGTGGTCCTGCTGTTGGAGGAGACGGGGAGGTGTGGGGCGCTGGAGGACGAGGACGCGCGCCACCCTAGACCCTGCGAGTTTCCGCCCTGACGCCTTGGTGCGGGTGGGAAAGTCTGGATGGGGCAAGAGTCAGTGTCCCTCCCAGGGGAGAGCGCGAGGGCCCCCCCTGGCGGTGGCGCTGGCAGCTGCTCGGGAGGGCAAAAGCAAGCCGCTCACCGGAAAGCCGCGGAGCCCACTCGCAGCAAAGTTGCTTTCGCCCCCACGCACTCACCTCCTCCCCCACGGATTCTCCCGAGTCTCCCCAGCCCAGGGCTGATCTGAGGGCTCTCGCCAGGCCCGGGGGACTTCCCTTACGCTGTCCCAGCCGCGCAGCGAATGGGACCCGCAGGCGTAGTGGAAGGGGGCGTTCTTACCTCGAGGGGAGAGGGGGACCCCGGTCCCTTCGCCGGTCTTGGCCGCCGTGGCCTCAGGCTCAGAAGGACACTGTTGCTTTTCCCTGGGAGCCCGCTGAATAGGAGGAGAGCGAGCCTGTCCCGCCCCCCTCCCGCTAGTCCCCGCCCCATCCCCCGTCCCGTCCGCCTGGCCAGCCAGAGAAGACGCCCTTGTGGGGCTGGAGCCCAAGGTCCCCCCACCCACCCTTTCCCACAGTAGCACCTCCCCCGCCTGCACAGCGCCCGCTTTGTTCATCTGTACAGCTGGCTCTCCACCACCGCCCTCCCCTCCGGACTCTCCCAGACCACCCTCCACCCTTAGGCTTTAACTGCACTTC